CCTTTAGGCTAGGAACCATCCTCAATCCTCCAAAATCATCTGGTACTTCTCGAACTTGTTCAGAAGAGGGGTGAGCATTGCCTCAATCCAAATCCTCCAACAATCACTGTTAATGGGATGAGGCAGTGCTGATGACATTCACAAGCAGATTATATCGAGCATGTAATGCAGATCTCAATTGTTCGTGACTGAACATAAACAATGCTGGGTACAGCCTACGAACTCGACACAATGCATCCTCCAAAATCAACCGACACTTTTTTACCATTCAGCCTCAATCCTCCAAAATCCTTCAAAACTTGGAGGATTGAGGAGGGTTAGGGTTAAACCAAATGCAGAAGCTTCCCAAACCGTAAAAGAAATTTAATTCTTGCGGGAGAACATTTGCAAGAGTACGAGTACGAGTGCTTTATTGTCATGAGAACGAGTACGAGTATGGAGATTTTTTTTTCTTGCGAGTATAATTACCAGTATATTTTCATCAGTACAAGCCTGAGTACGAGTACCAAAAAAGTACTCGAGTACGAGTATATTTTCATGAATGCGAGTACCAAAAACTGTACTCGCGTACGAGACCGAGTACGAGTGCTACAACACTAGAATCCCATGGCATTTTGGTTGTTCACCTGTTTTTATTAGGCAAATATTTATCTGTGCTTTAGCGTGCCAGCGGGCTCCATGAAAATTGGCCCTTGCCCTCCATTCAGACACTCTGCTTAAGGCTGTCGTATTCCAGAACGCTCAAGTCTTGAGAGAAAGAAAACTATAAGAAGCCCGTGTCAACATTTCACAGCCCCGCGCTAATTGAAAAGCTCTCGTGTTTTTTAATTCCGCTTGCGCACTGAAGAGGGGATAATTTATTTTCTAATCCGTTTTTCGTATCCCCCCTAGGTTTCTATAAATTTTTATGGTTTTTTTTAAGATGGGAGGACGGGGGTTTTATGTGAAGTGAAGCATGATTGGGTAAAAGGATGGTCTTAAGCAGGCAGGGGAACTGGTTGTGCCCGCGGTCGGGCATGTCGGTGTAATGTCTGAATTAGTTTATCGGGAGGGAAAGGTACTCAGTAAAATCTGGGGGATCCTCTTACTTAGATTTGAAAACTTTGTGAAAACATGGATGCTAAATCGCCGGAGGATGTTATATTTCGGATGCAAGACTTGTTGTTTCATGTACTCTGGATTTTTTGGGGGGGAGGGGGATGGGGGAAGTATAGGAGGCCAAATATGTGAACAGCCAGCAAATAACGTAGGCAGAAGGAGGTTAATTATCAACCAGGTTGTCTTGACTAATTGTGAAATGTTTCCAAGCTGCTGTGTGCAGAGCCAAAGCTTGGCGCAATACAAATAGTAACAGACAGTTCGTGTCGGTGGTTTTGCCGGGGGAGTATATACCCGCACTACGTGTTACAATGTATAATTGGAAAATTTTTTGTTCTCTCTCCTTTTCTTCTTTTTCATGAACGTGCACTTTTTGGGGGTGTCAACAAAAGCTGGGGAAAAAAAGTAATTAAATATCGAAATTGCCAGGACTGTTAAATGGTTTAACTTGAAAACATTGCTAGCTGAGGTGGATGCGGCACTTTTTGATGCGCTGTTGTGGATACATTGTTTTTAAGCTTCTACAGGTCTCTTCATGGTTGTTCGGTCGGCAGGGCTGCCCCCAGAAAATTGACCAAAATTGACCCTAAGTTTCCCTAAAAATATAACTGCCGGTACCAATTGACCAAAAATGACCAAAAATTGACCAAATGCAATGCCGTCGTCAGTAAACGCACTCTGGGCCAAAGTTTTCGGAACATGCCCCTTTGTCTTGATCGGTGCGCATGCGCGTCTATTTTGCATATGAAGTGAGACATTCCGTACCCGGCCCAGAGCTTCTTGTCCACTCGCGCTTGTTTTTCTCTGTCTGCTTCACCATTTTCGGATTTGAGAATGCCCAGTTCATAGTACCTAAGGAAATTTTGTACAATATCAAAACAAAAGTTGCAAATTCTGGTGAGATGTTGGGGTTAAACATACAAGTTGAATTGATTGCACGTTGAAATTTTCAATAAAATGCATATATTGGCACTGTACATATGTGTATTCGTGTACTAGAAATATCTTGCAAAAATGTCATAGTCATCTTTCATACATTCCTGTACTGGTCATCGTATTGTAAAGCATAATGCATTATATTGTATATTGTGTTCTTATAAAAAATTCATGTCTTTTGCAGTGACTTTCTCCAATTTCTTTCTTTTCTTGTGGGGATCCGACTACCCTGTCGGTGCGCACATATTGCATTCGCCATCATATATGAGAGGTTTCTGGGTGCATGACTTCATCCCCTCCCAGCCTAAATTAATTTGGAGCGGAGATTATAAGATTAACCTTTCAGATAATGTTGTCTTGCCATGCTGTTCCCCAGCTGCAAATTTTGAGAAATATTGGATTGAGGATTTGTGATCTTAAAAGTACAGTGCTTGCTGTACAGTGTACCGCGTGAGTAAAAAAAAATGAATCCCAAATGGCGGGACTATCGTTTTAGTGAAATTCTGCATGTAGCACATTGAAAATCTAGGATATGAAAGCCCAATTCATAAGCTTTCTTTTAGTACAAGAATCATTCATATCACTTATGTTCTTTTCAACTTACAGAATTTTAAACATAACCACCGTTTTAAGGTTCTGTCCACAGATCACAAAAAAGTGCAGTGTTCTTTCAGCTAAACGAAAACAAATCACATGGGGATGAGTCTGAATTGTTTTCGTTTTGCTGAAAAAACGCACACCGTTTTTATGATCCGTGGACAGAACTTTAAAACGGTTGTTGTGTTTAAAATTCCGTAACTTGAAAAGTAAATGAGTGATTTGAATGATTCTTGTACTAACAGAAAGTTAATGAATGCGGCTTGCATATCGTAGATTTTCAAAGTGCTACTTTGTTTGAAAAAGAAAATACTTCTGCCAATTAGCAGTGACAAGCAATTTACTCATGCAGGGACTAAGTGTGGTCTCGGGAATGATTTATGGGCCTAGTAATAACGATAGTTGAGAGCCACATTGTCCAAACATTCACAATGCACAAAATACATTTCTCAAGTGTGTACTAACGCTTCAAGTGTCTACATGTCAGTAATATCAATCATGTGTACACATGTATGTATTGTAAAAACACATAGGCGTTCTTTTATTACATGGGAGTTCACGTGCCCAGTCCATTTATAGTCAGGCTCCCAATCGCATATTCCTTATCCCCAGGGCACTTTGGGGCTCTGTGCACATAATACGCATCGCGCAGGGAACCATGATACAGCATAGCCTTCACAGTGATGTATCTGAAGCCGGATCGTACATGTATGTAAGGCAATACAGCATGGATGATGGGGGGATGTTATCTTTGGGTCGGAACCGGACTCGATATAGGGTTCAATAACCTCTCGGTAGGGTCTCAAGGGGGTCCTGGCTTGTCTGGTTTCGGCCGGGGATTCCTTGCCTTCGGGGCCCTTGTGAAAGCTGAGCGGGTCGGCCACCGCTGTGCAAAGATCCCAATCCTTCAGTGGGGAATCGACATGTACACCGTAGGCAGGAATCTTCCAAAAGTGTGCATGTACTTTTCTAGGGGAAAATATAAAAATATACAGGTTTACTCAATGTACCACAGGAGAGAAAATCAGTTCTACAATTTGAAATTCACCAACAGTAAACATTGTTTCCGACGAGTGATGTCAATCTCAATATGTGATGCGATCAAGCTACATGAGTCGTTTGTCGGGAATTTTCATTTGGAGATACAGGCCACACTAGGGCCACTTCATCACATCACTTCATCACATCTCTTGGTGTTCCGACTTCCATAAATTTTTAACTAAAGATGGTACAAGCATGTGGTTTTCACAGCAGTAATGCTGAGATTGTGCTGTTTTTAAATCTGTGATAAAAAAATTGTTGGCCAGGGTCGACAAACGACTCACTTAGCTTGATCGCATCACATATGCACATTCAGTTTAAAGTAAACCAGACAATGTTATATTCATAGCACATTGGACAGTGGACCATGCTGCACCTGGCTATATATTTGCATTGCCCAACGCTGCACATGGGTTTGAGTTTCCTCAATGTCAAGCTGCACGTTCCAGCTATGCATGCCATGTATAATTAAGTGCACCCATGTCGGCCTTTTGTTGGACCTTAACCCTAACTCCCTACTGTCTTTTACTAAGGACTGGACCAAGTCCGACAAAATCCATCAATCCCACTGCTTCCAATGCATGCTTTGCTTTAGGCCTCCAGGCCCAAGTCCATCGTACTCCATCAAGATTTAGTCAAACCAGGCCTGCAGGACCAAGTCCCCAAAAATCCACCAAAATTGGGGATGGATTTTGATGGAGTTAGGGCGGTTAGGGTTAATAATGGATGCGCAGTCATGGTCGTGACAGGTCCAAACATTTAGTGGGTTGGTCCAAACATTTAGTGGGTTGGGCTAATAACGGATCAGTCTGTTGACAGTTGTGCAGGACACAGTCAAAATATCAACTCCTTTCCCCTGCCATGCCTTTTACACAGGCTAGTCACCAACAGTGAGATCATGTATCAAGCAAGCACTGTGACTAGTCAAATTCAGTCCACAGAAAAATGCAGGCAAGTGGTTGGCACAGCTGGCTTGTGAATCACCTGCAGTCAAAGCATAGCCGCATCTACAGGGGTGTGAAATCTCAGCTTTAAAGCTGATTTCAGCTTTTTTTGTTTTGGACTTCAGCTTTTTTTTCCCCTCACTGGCTGTGTACAAAGGTATAGGAGATTTCCAAAGTTCAGCTTTTTTTTAAACACCTTTTTCTACATGTAGTTACATTAACAGTCACAGCCAGTCAATCCTGCTTTATGTAGGCTGGGAGCTCTTAACTGTTGAAAACAGTCATGTGATTGATTTTGAAAGAAATAACATATATTTGACAGACATAACATATATTTGGGTTAAATTAATGTCCAACTTGTTACTTGTCCTCTTTCTTCTCCAGGCATTGCTACAAGCGCACGACGTGGTCGCCCACGAGGTCTACAGCGATGCGGCCATCCGCGTGACTCCTCCCCCGACGTCGCCTTTCCTGAACGGCCGCGAGGAGATGCAGTCCCCCAACGGGGACGTGGAGCCCATGGACTCCGTCACCCGGGTCCGACTGGTGCAGTTCCAGAAAAACTCGGACGAGCCTCTGGTAAGCAGGCCGTGAATATACACTGGTCATCTCTCAGTGGGTTATCATCACTGATCTCTATATAAAGACTGGATAGCGGATATGCATACAACATTCACACAGTAGACTTTGCATATTGACCAATTCGCCCCCGGTCTCACGAAGATGGCCGCGTATATACTAACGTTCTACGCGTAAATACGCGCGCGTTGTATCAACAGTTGACGCGCATTTTGGTCACGTACACATATTATGATGTTCTAAAAAGGACACATTTCCGTAGTAACTATTATTTCAAAAACGCCGAAAAAGTGATTTGCGGCATTATAAAAGTAACCACGACGTTAGAAAAATTGTAGTAAACCTTGGTCAGTTGGTCAGTGGGTCAGTGGTGGTGGCCAAAATATAAGTCAAGTGAACCGCGACGTTACAAAAGAAATCATGCTGTCTATAAAGACGGCAACTTGTCCTTTGTAGATCACCAGCCGGTCTCACCAATATGGCGTCAAATTCGTACATTGTGCGGCTCTTTATTAGCTATCCAGTCTTTATATAGAGATCAGTGGTTATCATGACGTCATATCTCCAGAAAAAAAGAAAGAAATAGCTTATTAGGGTACTAACCCATCAACTAATCAACTAATCCATCAACTAACCCATCAACTAATCAACAATCCACTCAGTTACTGAAACGGTCAGTCAACACAAGTATTTTAACACCTGTTTCAGGCTGACATGGTGTGGAGCGCTGAGGAAATTTGTGGCAGACTGTCGAACACCATTGGATGGTTTTCTGGGGCCAAAGGAAACTTTTGAGTGTCAGAGAATATTAGATGTATCTGGATTTGTTTATATTTGGCGCAGCGTTGGAGGGGGGGGGGTGCCCCCCATACAAAATTGCTGCCCCCCAGTCACACCCACCCCCCCCCCCCCCCACTGGAAATTTGTTAGTCCTATAAGTGACCATGGTTAACAGGTTTAACAAAAACTGACCCTCCCCATCCCCCCCACTGGAAAATCCAGCCAACCCTCCCCCCCTACTCACCGTGACACCCCCTCTCCCCCCTCTCTCCCCCCCCCCACTTATAGTGAGAGCCACTGTCTACACCGCTGATTTTATGTGAGCCTTATGCCCATTTGTATACATAGTTTAAACCCTCAGTAATATTCCACACAACTCTCAGTCGTATTAGAGTACATTCTGCGGGGAAAAAAGTACAGAAATTAAAACGTACGCAACTAGGGATATGAGTACTATTTCCACTTGCAACAAAATGTCCTCCTTCTAACGACTGTCAGCAATTTTCTTTTTCTTCTAACAACATCCACCCCTTCCAGGCTTTTACAGTTACCGGTACCTCACCCCCGCATTATACAAAAGTTGCTACCTGCGTCATGCTATCAAACCGATTGATGATTTAATTAAAGAGCAGCCAGATATTACATGAAGATCGTGAAGTCGCTCAAACATGTCGGAGTCGTGCCTCCCCCGATCTGCTCAATTGCTTTTTTTCTTTTTTTCAAAAGCATAAATTGGATCAGTCACTTCACCACGTTTGGGGGAAGATTAATTTTGCAGCTGAGAATGCTTGCCTTGCCTCGTGATTCTGGAAGTAGAGGATAAATTCTTTGGACCAAGCATGTACTTTCAAACATTTTCCTGATGGCGACAGAAATTTTACATCATACATGTACATTGTGTATGATCTCAGTTTTGTTTCTCACAGTTTGCCCAAAAGAACCCCCAAATAAACCTCTCTGGTTCCCTCGGAGACAACTGAGAACATTTCTGTTCCCCTTGGATTGGATTCCAGTCCATTGCAGGCTAATACCAGCACCCATTATTACATGTACTCCTGGTAAGTCATGGTAAAGCGGCTTGCCCAAGGACACAGCAAAATGGCCAGTTAATGCTGGTATCCATTTATAAATGTATTTTAGGTGGAGAGAGGCAAGTCCTCTAAAGTGGCTTGCCCAAGGACACCGTGAAACGGCCATCTATAATGCCAGTACCACTTTTGACATGTACTCTTGGGTGGAGAGAGGCAAGTCCTAGTGAAGTGGCTTGCCCAAGGACACAGTAAAATGGCCAGTTAATGCTGGTACCTATTTATACATGTACTCCTGGGTGGAGAGAGGCAAGACAGGGTAAAACGGCTTGCTCAAGAACACAACATATGGCCAGCAGCTGGATCTGAACCCCTGACCCTCTGATCATGAGTCACAAGCACTAACCACTAGGCCACACCATTTATATACAAGTCAATGAGCAAAATGATGCATTTCCCCTTGTTCTAAATCTGTCGTTTCCATTTTCTCTGCTCTACTTCCTACAACTACTTTGTTTAGTCAACACAACCTTCTTTTTTTTTGGTCGCCACATACATGTTAGCGTAATCAGATTTCTAACTAATTCATATCAATCTGATCAATTCATGGAATAGACTTTAGATTTTTCATTTTTCATCCCCCCCCCCCTTCTTCGTGGATTGATATAAGATTATCACAAAATGAGCTTTGGCAAAACCCAAGTCTCGGAGCCGGACTGTCTGCCGAGGCCGGGCCCCAAGATTTATGCGATTGAGGACGGTCAATTTCACGCATGCTTTAATTCCGTCGCAGGTCCGGCGCTTTCTAATACATCAGGACAGGCGCTGGGTCAAATGTGTGCATGGCAGTGTATTCAGGGGCCGTGCACATATACTTGCACTGTGCTAATCTGTGCAGATCAGTAGTCTACAAAGCTGTTGCAGTGATTTGTTTGTTGGATTGCGGTTTGCTTTGTGGATGTATTATCTTCAAATATATTTGCATTTCCTGTTACAGCATAATTGACATACATGTCAATTTGTAGACTGCGCACCGACACTGTGTATTTAGTTTGGGTATAATGCCTAAAGTAATGTTGCTGTGATAGAACTGGGCACCAGTGTGATTATTTTCAGTTGTCGGTGCCAACAGATCTGAATCTACTAATCCCAATCCATTAATCACAGTCCATACATGTATGTATTTCTCCTGCTGAGAATGCTTGATGATTTATTATGCATTTTGTTTGAAATTATCCACAGAGGCATGGAGAATATTGGCTACCACTTTCTAACCTATCTCATCCTTCTTGCCTCTATCCGTAACAAGTTCTTCTTTTTTTGCAGAGAATTCCCCTGCACAGATTGTCAGTGCATATTAAAATATGATTCTTAAAGGGGCAGTAGGTCCTAAAATCCCTGAAAAATGACATGTTTTGGATTGTTTGCTTGTCCTATTTCAGACATCTGGTTGAAAGGAAACTAACCTAATGTCTTACCCTTCCTGAGAAAAGAAGAAAAAAACCATGGTTGTTTACATCGGACACGACGGAGTACAAATACGTATATCCAGGGAAGATATATATCCAGGGAGTCACCTTCCTAAAGATGGACAACATGGACAATGACTGCTGATGTATCTCATCAAAAAAGCAGATATCTGATTCGACTAATCCCGTTCCTCTAATCTTAATCCCGTCTAATCTCTCCCCTCATCCAGGGCATCACCCTGAAGATGAACGACGACCGCCGGTGTATCGTGGCCCGCATCATGCACGGCGGCATGATCCACCGGCAGGCCACGCTACACGTCGGCGACGAGATCCGTGAGATCAACAACGTCTCGGTGGCCAACCAGACCGTGGAGAACCTGCAGCGGATGCTTAGAGAGCTCCGCGGGAGCATCACGTTCAAGATCGTGCCCAGCTACAGAAACGCACCCCAGCCTTGTGAGGTAGGCCAACAGAAAAACTCAGGCGTTGCAATTAATCGAGTCAGTCGCAAGCCTCTATTAGCCAATCACAAGCCATCCAGTCCCTTGTCAACTTACAACGTATAATTGTTCATATTTCATCTTTTGTTGCTCTTTTGTTATGTTTGTCCTGACTTGTGAACTGACATGCGATTGACTTTGATTGACTTTATTACAACTCTAAGCAAACTGAAGAATTAGTTTAAAAAAATGGAAATCCTTTGCCTTTGTGAACAGCTCTAGGATCTAAACATTGCACCTTTCAATATTTCCATTACCATTTGTACATTTCAGGTCATTCTCCGAATTCAAACTGTTTTGTTAAAACTTTCAGCCCGCTTGAAAAATATACTTGTATTCAATTTTGGGTTGAAAATGAACAACATATTCTGTAGTCACAACCCTTTAAGCACAGAATCCTCGGTTCCGGGCTGTGTGCACGCGCGTACGCCGAAATTCCTTGCTAACCCTTGAAATACGCTCACCGGAAGCAGGGAATTTTCTGCTACGGTAAGCAGGGATTTTCACTAACAGTAAGCAGGGGCAAGAAATTGGGCCATGGTTAAGATCTAGACAATGGAGCTGGACAAGAGTTTCAGATGCAGTCAAACACTTCCCCTCTGTGTGGATAATGGAATGTGGATGATTCGGTGATTTGTTTTGGTCTTTGTGTCAGATTTACGTGCGAGCCCAGTTTGAGTATGACCCAGGTCAGGACGACCTGATCCCCTGCCAGCAAGCCGGCATGAGCTTCCGGTGCGGCGACATCCTACAGATCATCAGCAAAGACGACCACAACTGGTGGCAGGCCCGGAAGGAAGGGGAACCGCTCAACGGGACAGCGGGACTGATCCCATCACCGGAGCTACAAGAATGGTAAGATTCACAGCCCAAGAGACTGGACTGATCCCATGAAATGGCAACAAGCCCATGGCAAAATGAGAAACACAGAGTGGGATTCGAGTGGACTGATCCAGTGAAATTGCAAAAGATAAGCCCATAATCAATGGGAACCATGAATGGGATTGGACTGATACCATAGAATGACCAGATGCCCATAACCAGTGGGAACCATTGATTGGGTGAGATGGATGTCATAAAATAGAGTGACAAGATTCTTGTAGGGAACCACTGAATAGGGATAGGACTAATAGAATGGCAAGATGCTTATCAAGTGGAACCATGTGACCGGGAATAATCGCATAAGATCGAACTGATCCCATAGCACAATACACTAAAAACAATATCTCAAACCACTGAATGGGAATGCCATAGAATGATGAAGCATTGTAACCAATAGGATATAGGAGTGATCCCATAGAAAGGGTGATGCCTATAACCAGCGGGAACCACAGATTGTGCTTTGTCTACAGAATTTCCTGGACTGATTCCATAGCACAATACACTCAAAAAATGTCTAGAACCACTGAATGGGAATGTCATAGAATGATAAAGCATTGTTACCCATAGGGTATAGGAGTGATCCCATAGAAAGGGTGATGCCTATAACCAGCGGGAACCACAGATTGTGTTTTGTCTACAGAATTTCTTGGACTGATCCCATAGCACAATACACTCAAAAAATGTCTCGAACCACTGAATGGGAATGTCATAGAATCATGAATCATTGTAACCCATAGGATATAGGAGTGATCCCATAGAAAGGGTGATGCCTATAACCAGCGGGAACCACAGATTGTGGTGTTTTGTCTACAGAATTTCCTGGGCTGCTCAATTTATGGCATTATCCTTAACATAAATGTTTCATTCTACTGCAGGAGAGTAGCCTGTTTAGCCATTGAGAGAGCCAAGAAGGAGCAGCAGGCATCGTGTACGTGGTTCGGTCGACGGAAGAAACAGTACCGAGACAAGTACCTCGCCAAGCACAACGCGGGTCAGTACCCCATGATAATCAACAGAATGAAAAACTCCCTCACTTAAAACCTTTCATTTGTCCTCAGTTAAAAGGTAGAGTAGATCATTTGCAGCTGTCCAAAAAGTAACTGACGAAATTATTGTTGAAAAGCTCACTTGGTATAAAGATAGTAATGGCGCTATTAAACTCCCTGTGAAATTATTCTTGCATGCTGTCATTTTGAGGAAAACAAGAAAAGAAGGTCATTTCTAAAGATGCGTCAAGTGATGAAATTTTTGGAAATTTCCATTAGTAGTTGGCTTGTAATTCAGTGAATCCGTGAATGGGTGCGCGCATGCATTGACACAATGCACACGCGCACGCAGTTGCTATAATTTTTCAGTTCAGATGTTAAGTGGTGTGCATTAATGGGCAGTACTGGAAACGAGTACCCTATTGACGTTAAACACGGGTACTGTATTAAAAACGACCCCAAAATTCAAATCTTAGAAGTTGTCTGAAGGGCTTTACAACGCTTTACAAATCTGTTGCATGTTAAAAGTGCCTGTAAATGTGAAATCTGTTTTGGTTTTCTATGTAACCTGATGTCTTAAAATAATTTCACTCTCCGAAAATGTTGGAATCGGAGAACATATTACTCAGTCCTTCTGATTTGAAAATCACAGTTGTGTGAAAAAAAGCACACCTGGATTTTTCTAGGCGTGTGATTTTTCTAGGCATGTGATTTTTCTAGGCATGTGATTTTTCTAGGCATGTGATTTTTCTCTAGGTGTGCGATTCTGTTGTTCAAGCTGGGACCGAACAATCTGGTATTTTTTTTCTCATAATATTCATCTTGGTTTACAATAAAGCCGTTTTCTCTTCACCGACGTACTTTGTTTTTCACAAATTATGAAGTATAATTGTGCCGTAAATGTATGCCGAGGTGTGCGGTACTGAGGGATTCAGGCGTGCGATTATTCGCACTTCTCAGGAAGCATTTAGGCATGTGGTGGCGTGGGATGTGATCGCACGCCTCAAAACAGAAGGACTGATTACTCAGTTAGAACTAAATTAGTTTCATGAAATTACACTTGTTTACCAAAGACCATGCCTCTAACCGTCCAAATATTGTAATGCCATCTCCTACCTCTTTTTGGTGGAGACAATTTCAACTGACAGTCCAATCGTTAACGGCGTTCCATCCTTTTCCTTTTTTAATCTCGTTCCAGTGTTTGATCAACTTGATCTGGTTACATATGAGGAGGTGGTCCGCTTGCCTGCCTTCATGAGGAAAACACTCGTACTTCTCGGTAGGTACACATTGGTGCAGAACCAGGGGGAGAGCGATATTAAAAGGAATATACAACATTTGCAGACATCAAAGAAAAAAAAAACTACCAAGTTTTTACGAAATACCTTACTAGGATGTTGGTAAATGACAGTCTAAAGCATCCTGTAAAATTATGGCACCTGGTGTGAAGTCATTTTCAAGAAAATGGTATTTTTGGATACATTTCCAATGGTGGTCGGCTGACCACCGTTGGAAAAACAGGATTCACAAAGGTTCATAACAAAAGTGCATTAGGATTTTCGATAACTCCAATTCTCTGATCATTTTTTTTTTTAGCCTTCTTGGATCCTTGAAAAACGTCACCTATGTAAGGAATCAATGACACTATTTGTAAACCATCAAGGCTCCCAAGTATAATAAAATTGCCTGGCTGCTCCTTCGCGAAGCCTACAAAAACTTTTTTTAAGGACTTGCTAGGGTGTGGTGACTCGGTGTTCATGTTTGTCTTGCATTTGACCCACAGGTGCCCACGGTGTAGGTAGGAGACACATCAAGAACACGTTAATCACAAGTCATCCAGACAAGTACGCCTACCCCATCCCACGTGAGTATTAAACAGCCTGGAAACAGACCTCAATTTCTTTTTCTACTTTGCTCATCTTTTTTTTTGCTAACGTCAATAAGCCTTATTCCCGACTTAGTGTTACTAAGTAGAAGACCACGTCAGTCAAAATCCATCACTCACTCTACTTCACGTAATGCTTCAGGACCAAATCCGTTGAAATCCACCGATGATGCTGGTGGATTTTGATGGACTTGGTAAACATGGCTTATCTGCCAAAGTCCCCCCAAAATGGGGGGATGGATTTTGATGGGGGGATGGATTTTGACAGGCCCAGTTAAATCAGCTCAAAGCGCTCGGTTGCACGTTCATGAGAATATTATTATTCTTCTATTTCTGGAAATTTAACCAAGGACTCCTCAATTTTTTTTTTTAAGTTTTAGGGGTGGGAGGAAAAGCCTAGATTAGAATTGGGTGGTGGGATGGGGGACTCACAGAAACGGGTAGGGACTGAGAACTCAAGCTGCTTGTGGTCCAAAACAGGAATCGAACCCGGCCGCAGTATTTGGAAGGCAAGGAAAGAACCTCTGCACAAACCTGACTCCAAGAACTTACATCATGTGATATCATCATGCCTGCTTGACTGAAAAGTTACCAGAAATATATTTTTTTAAAAATCAAACTGCTCTTTTCCTTTGATCTTTTTCCCAGGTATCCATTATCGTTCCACCTTGTTGAGCTATGTGACTTTCCATTTCAGCAATATTTTAAAATTGTTTTGTTTTTGTTTAGACACGACACGGCCATGCAAGAAAGACGAAGAGAACGGCAAGAATTACTACTTTGTCTCCCACGAGGAAATGATGACGGACATCGCGACCAATAAGTACCTGGAGTACGGCACCCACGAGGACGCCATGTACGGCACCAAGCTGGACACCATACGCAAGATCCACACGCAAGGACTGATCGCAATCTTAGATGTTGAGCCCCAGGTAAGGGTGAATATTCTGACTCTAACCACTAGGTTAACCCCATGGGCCCAGGAAGCAGTCATGGCTGCGGCCGCTAATCCTCATTGGAATGCAGTTGCCAGCTGTGGTATGCCGTGGCACACAGCTAGTGGGTAGTTCTACAGCTGCTGCTTTTGTGCAGTCCCGCTACCACACAAAGGCTGTGCAGTCATGCGGGCCACTTGCTCTATGTGTGGAGGAATGTCCCCATTATAACCCGTGCTTAAGGGGTTAAGGCCAGTTCATACATCACACAAATACGAATCTGAAGCGAATTTGACATCGACATTGCTACCAAATTCATTAGAGATGAAATGTGTTATTTTTTGTGTGTGAATTTGTGACGTCATGAAAACTTGTGACATGACTTCACAAATGTGTGGATGCGTTCGATTTTGTGCCGAGTGTAAACTGGCATACAGTTGATGGCTTTCATGGCCCAAGTCTTTCTGAACAGGGGCTGGGGTAGCTAAACGTCTTTACTCGCAGCTGAGAAACTGAATTGCAAAGAACGCGACTACAACGTGGTCAAGCTGAAGGTCAGCCACCATGCGACCCGTGTCTGACCACGGAGCTCACCCAGTGACACTTATCGCTAAAGAGAAGGGGTTTGCCCCGGTGTTTCTGGCCTCCTGTATAAACTCCCACGCGGAGTATTTAGGAGATGAACCAACCAAGAACATTTAATCTTCCTTGCAGCCCTAACTTTTAATTTTAATCAGTTCTACATTTTCTTTCTTCCACCCCCTGTGATGCTTACTGTTTTTGTGTGTGTGTTTATTCATGTCACAACATTTCACCAAAATATTGTCAATAGATTAACACATACGGACAGGTGGCAATGTCATCTGACGTCAAATTACTACAGGTCTGTCAATAGTCCTTGATATATATATATATATTTGCTTCTTGTACTGCTAGCGTCTTTCTTTGATAATCCTCTGACTGTGACTGTTAAAGGTATAGCCCATCATTTGTAATTTGCCCATTTTGTTCGTTTGAAGCAGCAAACGTGCTCAAAATCTAAAGGAGGGTGCTGGACAACTAACCTGATGAAGTTTCAGCTCAGCTTCAGCTGCATTTTTCGAAAAAAACAACATTCTAGAATCTCGATTTCAAATCAAAAGTTGCCGAATCATGTTTTGAATTGGGCCTGGATCCAGCGTCCAAGACACGTTCTCACTAGCTGATTGCAGCTACGCGATGTCGTGCACCGATCCGACGAATTATAGCAACCGCGTGCGCGTGTGTGTCGTGCCAATGCTTACGCGCGCTTTGCCGAATAACAAAACGAGCTACTAATTTGAATTTCCTATGGGGCTTCTTCAGAAGCACCGTTGGAAAGGCCTTCTTTCGTTGATTTCTTCTAAATGACAGCTTGCCAGAAAGAATAATTTCACAGGGAGTGTAGTCTCCTTACTATCTTTCAACTAAGTATGTTTTTCAACAATAATTATGCCAGCTACTTTTTGGATAGCTGCAAATGATGGACTGTAGCTTTAAAATAACTGTGACACACAGAGAGTCACTGCACACACAAAAAAGCGTGGCGGACAGCAGTGATTTAAGCCAGTCATAGCCAGTCATTTTGACTCCAACAGAGTTTTCCTTTAACGTCAGTGATGAGTTGGCTGTGTTCTTAACTACTTTGGTGTTCTAAGATTTTTCAAAGACTACGTGTATGTAGCATCCAAATCTTATTTGAAAGTGTAATATTGCTGGTCGCTCTCATTAGACAATCTTTGTAACTTGTACATGTTGTGGTAGTACAGTGCGCTGGTCCACAGATCTGAACATTTGATCCTTCGTATCTTTTTGGTAAACTTTACCAGGCAGGGACTCACATAAATGACTTGATTTTTGGCTGTTTCTACGTAAGCATTGGAAAGTAACGAAATTCAACGTCAACTTTTGAAAGTCCCAGTCAGTTTCAGCTTCATCTTATATTATTTCCTTCTTTTGTCACTTCGGAAGATTCTAGATATTTCAATTTTCCCATGTTGAGTGTAAGGATTTCACTGCCTGTTTTTTCTTAATTGACTGAATATTCACAGCATGTCATTTCTCCAGACAATTTGCTAAATCAATTTGCCATTTATTCAAAAATGTGCGAGGGAATTCACGTACCAGTTGATTGGATTTTGTACATGTTTTCTGAAATTGTTTACCTCTGTTGTCGGTACTGAAATTTCCTGTCCATTGTATAGACTACTTCGGCGACCGCCATTTTCTGAGTTGGAAACAGGCTTGCGCAAGTCGTGCTCGGGTAGCACGTACGCACTCCGGGCTCCTTCGACCAATAGTGTTACCAAAATGCGTGAGCGCCTCGTCTTTAAGAACGCATGCGGCATGAGCGTGAACGTGTTGCAACCTCAGAAAATGGCTTCTAATTTGTTCTCCAACTTAGTTTATATATCAGAGTTGTATGCAAGCCAATCACAAGTCAAATCATAAGTCAATCACAAGTCATGTCACAAGTAAAGTCACAATTGACCTATCGCCGTTTGCGAGTTAGCCACGCCCCTTAGACAACCCTATGGAGTTTTTGTACACTAAGTTTTGTTTGTCTCAGATTTTGCGCGTTCCGCGTCCATTTGTATGTCATGTAATTGGACAATATTTCACAAGCTGCGTTGAGGCAATTCTACTGCGATTCTACCGCGATAGGTTAAATTAAGGCCCAGCTAAAAAGCAAGTGAGCAAGGACAACAGAATATGTTGGTTACAGTTCATTTGAAATGTTTATGAATGGAGGACTTGTGACTGACATGTAAGAACTTGAATACAAACTCCGATTTCTATCATTGCCGTGCATTTCTCAGTTTCCAAGCATTCCTGTTTGATGATCGTATCCTTTTGTCCCTGTTCTTTTTATTCCCAGGCACTGAAAGTGCTCCGCTGTGCCGAGTTTGCCCCGTTTGTGGTCTTCATTGCTGCGCCTACCATCACCGGAATGAACGACATGCACGTGAGTGTCCTGAATCCCCCTGTTGTTCCATCCATTTTAGATCAGAACGTTTCACTGCAAATATTTGTCAGTCAATATCGTGTGGGTCACTTAGACTGTTCATATTTGTACCGGTAGTGCATGTCAGTGGGGGAGATATTCCCCGGTTGTTAAGACCTAAAAAGCAGTCTATCCAATTGTTCCACGAGTTTGTCCAACCTGGTTCCTTCAATCAGAGGGTTTGAGAGAGAAACTCGGCTTTCTGTCAGTTCTCATCCATGCAGTACCTAGATGTAGAACAAAAGGATATTCCAATAGCTTTTTCCTTACAGATGGAGGTTCACCTGAAAACAAAAACATCGACCACTCCTTCAAATTTTGGCTTCGCCCAACTGTACTGCCAGAAGTCAATCCCTGACTAAATGTTCATTTTGTGTAATTCACATATATAATTGATTTCATTTTGTTTGGTTATTTGTTTGTTTGTTTGTTTGCTTGTTTGCAGGACAACGGTCTGGAGAGGCTAGGCAAAGAGTCGGAGCTCCTGCGCCAGGCCTACGGTCACTTCTTCGACCTGACCATCGTCAACAACGACATCGAGGAGACCATCCGCACGCTGGAGCAAGCCATGGAGGAGATCTGCACCACGCCGCAGTGGGTACCGGTCAGTTGGGTTTACTGACAATGAAAGAACCACCATTGGGTTTTACCGGCCACAATGGGACAGCGATTCCGGTCAGACGTGAAATCAAACGCTGGTTGTAGATTTAAAAAGGAAAAAAACAACAAAAACGTACGACCGGCTGTGATTCACCATTGAAATCATTTAGTGGGAGGTCGTTGGCGTGGCAGCGGGTCACGCAACAGCAACGACCTCAGCCAGTCATCACGACAAATGGGTGGCTCAGTTGCTGTTTGCGATGCGTTATCTCTAGCCAAAGATCTTGCATAATAATTTAGATGGTGAATCTGCTCCTGGTTTTTTTTTTCAATTGGCGTTTTTATACTCCTATGTTAACCTTCACTGAACTCACAGGGGTAGAAAAAGAATCTTATCGAGTAATTTTTTGGGCATAACGGAATTTTTTTTTCCTAGCAGCTATCCAAATCATTCGTTGCTTTTTGCTAATTATATGTTGGCCGAGATTTGTGGAACAGGTTTTTTTCAGGAATTTTGGAACCACAAGAAGTGTATAAAACAGCATGGAGGAATGTATGGTCATTAAAAAGCAAGGAAATAAAATGTTTTCGGATGAACTCAAAAGTCGAGGCTTTTTTTAGTGTCTTGACATCGCAGTTTATGGATTTTCGAATCATGACTATAAATCTCAACTGCATTTAATGTCTGCAAAGGTTTGATGAAAAGAGAGTTGTTTCATCACATGCTCTCTGACTGTGTATTGCCATGACTGTTTTTCAGTAATATATCTTTTTGTAACAGTAGATAAAATTTGTTAAAAATATGAAGTGGTCAATAAGTGAAAGAAAAATAAATATATTTGAAAATGAGCATTCAACTTTTTCTTTCACCTTGGAATTTTTTTTGGGGGGGGGGGGTGGGAGGCATGTATGTATTTGTATTAATTTTTTTTTTTTGTGCTGCATTGTTTTAAATTTCTTTATAACCTAACTCCGTTATTTTCCTCATTTTGTAAAGTATCGCTTATTGCCATAATAAAATCAGAAATTCTTAGAACTTGCGTTTTTCGTTACGATTTTTTGTGTACATATTCAGATCGATTGGAGCGATAATCAGCATTGCCGTCTTATGAAAAAGAAAAAGTTGGAAAGCATTTTTCTTATTTTAAAAAGTGTAAAATTTGAGCTGAGTTGATGAGAAACGCATTTTTGTGCTAACTATTCAGAAAAGAAAGAATGAAGGTTTTTTTATCATTGCAAGAGACAATTTTTTTTTTTTTTTTTTTAGTTTTTTTTTTAGTTTTTTTTTTGAATTTTTTTTTTTTTTTTTAAATTGGCTCCATCGCATCTCCGCGGGGAAATTGCTGATCTTTGTTTCGTTGCTGGTAAAGCAGTTATATGCAATATGATCTACACGTGTGCATGGTGTGTGCTCGCAAAACCGCCTGGAGTGGAATCGAATCTTAGCTGACACGGCCGAGTCGCGCTCCATAACGAGGAAAATAAATTGCGTTATTAGATAATAAATTTGTGAGATACCGTCTGCTGATTAGTGTTATCAATCTTGTCTCTGTTTTGTTCTTCTTTTTATCAGAAATATAATTCCATACTCTGTCTTTGTTTCTTTGTTATTCTTTTCCCATGCAGTGTTTTAAGCTCTTTCATTAATTTTTAACATTTTCTTTTTCCTGTGGCCAATTTTTACGAGGAACAGTTTTAATTTGTATTACTGTAACAGATCATTCCAATTTTTGTTGTTCATTTTTAAGCTAATAATTTAGGTATCCCCGTTACCCAAGGGTTTTTTGGTTACACTGAAACAAAGGAAAGTATGTTTAAACATTGGGTCTGTTTTTAAGAAAGTCATTTTTTTTTAAAGCTATAAATGCTTTGGAGAAATGAAATGAGTTTTGTCTTTGCAGGGGAGGGGTATTCTAATTACACATTATAAATTAAGTTTCAATGGTAAAAAGGTATGAAAACAGAATGCAGTCATGTTGGGACCGGCAAACCAAACCAAAAGATCGAAGTTAAACAAGGACATCCTCAACATTACTATCAGATAATAATTCCATGATCGGACAGTCTTTTTTGTTTTTGTTTGTTTTTATTTGAAGCATTTGCCTGTAATTATGTACAGATTGACTTTCATGAATAATCATTATGTAGATTTGTATATTAATGAATATTAACGACTGGTAGGCTGATGATTGGTTCGTTGCAGCAAGCTTGGTAGCAAAAACCTAAATTCATTTGCATTTTTGATGGTATTTTTGACATTTGTTTTTCACCATTGCTGGGAAACTTTGCACAGATAATGAATTCAAACTGCCGGCTTTGGAAAACTGTAAACACACTGACAATAAGTGGATTGTATGGAACAATATCACAGTGAAAAAAAACTCCTATTGGCAACTTGAAATGAGTCTATGTACCTCTCATTACTACTGCCAATTTTGTCAGTTACTTTTTCTTGTCCCGTTAACATCAGATGCAAACCAATGCTCTTTTATGCAATGCAATTGCCAACAGTTTATGTCAAATATTCCTGAGGTCATTTTTGCTAAATATTAATTTGAAGCTACTGTTTTGGATAAGGATTTTTGGAAAAAAAATTTACGTCGCAAAAAAGGCAGCCACTGCGTACACCATATTGCAGCAATGGAATGAAGAGTCCTAGTCCCCCCCCCCCCCGGCTTTTCATATTAAATTTGGGGCCAAAAATGTTTTGACCCTCTTTTGACCCAAAAAAAAACCAAAAAAAAATGTGCTCTGGATCCGGCTTTCGCCTGAAACTATGTTGCTGTGCATATTTGAATTGATCTGTTTGTTAATATGAAGAAATTATTACAAACTTGGTTGCTCATAAATTAATCACTCGCCTGTATCAAGAACCAGTCAAGCATCGTCTGCCAACTGTCTTTTTCTTTTTTTAAGATGAATCACTGAAGGTTGTAAATTCAACAGAAATGAAAAAAACAGTGTGATTTTATGTCCTTTGTGTGAATGAATTGTAAATAGAACAAGGGAAGTTCAGTGCATTCAAATCACAGCTTTACGAGATCCCTCTATTTTGGGTGGTCTACCACGCGTGTCCGGGATCCGTATGCTACAATCTCTCCAGAGTTTTTGTATCAGAAAAAAAAATAGAATTGTATTTAAATTGAAGCATGTTTTAAAAATTCGACTGTACAAAACTTCACGTTTAAAACTTCAATCTTTCATGAATAACTTGTTGTTTTTCTGAACTTGTAACTTGAATGAAATTGAAAAAAAAAGAGCAAGGTGTAGGCAGCAATACGGTACATAGGACGTCTGTAGAGTTTACTAGACTTCTGTTTCACCCCCGAAGATTTTATAAAATAAATTTGGAAAAAAAATTGAAGAAAAACAAAACAAAACACGAATGTGTTTGAAGGAGAGATGTTTTAGATTAGGCTGTGATCAACGTTAGAGGGCGCTGTTATATTAGCTTTCTCATCAATGCATGGGCTAGAAGAATGCACTATGGCAACACTCCTTTGATTTCTCTTGTATTATCGTAGACGTTTTTGGGAAGTCCTTGCTTATCCTCCAATAGAGACGATGTTATTTAAATATACAAAAAAAATGTACAAATAAACATATTTCAGAAGTAACAGTTGTTATTGTTTACTTGTTTTGGAGTTAAAGGTGACTTTTGTCTGATGATCGAGTGTTAAAGATCGTATCTACATGTACTAATCATTTTTCAAAGGCCCGAGTATTGTAGGAAGTCCACCCAATGTCTAATTTATTACATTTACGGAAAAAATATTAAAAACCCTTTTTGTTTACATTTGACTCGGTTTTCAAGCGGGAATCAAAAACTGACTGGCTCGGCATTTACCTGAAAATAACGCTGTGGAAATCGGGTCCCTCAACAATACAATGAGAGAACGTGTACATGTAATGGTTGTGTCTGATGACGCGTTTAACGTTTTCTAGGGGAAAAAATGGGACGTCAAATCTTTCAAGTTAACAGGAGGGCAAGTATTCGTTCAGTCAGAAAGAATGTTCATTCCTTTTCGGGAGGTTTCATAGAGCTGGGTCCATTTAGATTGGGTATTAAGGGCTTCTGTAGCGAGGGATGAAGTTTAGACTGGAAGGAACCCGTGAATTCGGAATGCCCATATGGGAGGTAACTGCCAACCCACATTGTGTTGGGGGGGGGGGGAGTCGAGAACACAACAAGGAAATTATTGATTCCAAAGAGGCTTGCTCTTAGATCGATATATATAGTAAGTTAGTACTGCACAGTAGTGCATTGGATGTGTTCTGCGGGACGAAATAGTGTGCTTACAAAAGTGTGTTGACACAACTTGGTACTGATGCAGTGTAGGCCTACCGAGTTCCATCTTGAATGCATAATGATGCCCTACATCCTAGTGAGAAGGTGAAATAATGCTCGGGCGGGAGAATGTGCGAAGTCCGGGTAAGTTGCTACGGCTGATCTGCCTGGCAAAATTTTTGTAGCAACGAGTGCATACTCGACATTAAATTTTGACATAATGTATAGGCCTGAACAGTGTATTCCGTTTTATTCGTGTTGTCTGGGGAGAAGTTTACGAATGCACTTTAGGGTGTGACTATTGTATGCCCTATCTGAGAGGCTAGGGGTTCTGACTTCTGAGAAGATCAACACTATAATGGTTGCCACCTCTGTGTTTCTCAGAGCCACCTCTCACCAATTGAGGGACGATCTCTTGAATAAAAGAAGGTGGCGCGTTAAGAGTTCTGCAGATTCAATAAAGCATATAGGGCACCCGTTGTTCCTTTAAAACTCTTCCAATAATTGAAGTGACTACGTCTCTGAAAAAAAATGATGAATTTCAAGAGAGGTGGGGCAAGTGGCACCCTGGGCTTCGTCTTGGGTGCCATGATGAGCAACCCTCAGGGGTACGGTGATAAACGACATCGCCACATCGCCATACAAAGCCCCAAATGAATCCTTGTGTCGTGCCTTTATTGCAGCCAAACCAGCTCATTTTCCTGTTCCTCGTCGGCGCGGTCGTCCTGTCCTGTCTCTTCGAGAGGTTCGGCCTGATGTTGCGGACGATGACCCCGATGCACGTGGCTCAGCGGACTCCGCAAGCCAAGGGACCGACGGGCCGGAGGTTGGAGTCCGTACATCGTAGACCGGCACTCGCTTCCCGCACCGTACTGGTTAGATCACGGTCCGCAATCCCGAGGTAGGCCTGCTGGTGTGGATCTCCGAAGTCGGGCAAAAACGTCGCAAATTATCACAAATCAATGAAAATAGTATCCGTGAATAAGATCATCAAATCAGTTCTTTATAGAAGCTGAGAAATGTAGGCATCACGGTTTTTCTCAAGTTCTTGCATGTCAATCACAAGTCATCCTGTCACAAGCTCACAAACTATTCAAAATGAACCATCACACCACAAAAGCATTCCTTTCTCATGGTTCATACCCAGTTTGCTTGTGAACCGACTTGTGAAATTTAATAAGTGATTGGACCTCTGATTGACGTGTGATTGACTTGATTACAACTTGCATTGTTAAAACGTTAATGTTAAATTATGTAAAGGAAAGTGCGAGGAATCGATTATGGGTTTTAGCTTGTTGAACCTTTCTTCAAAACATGCACAGTAGGAGTGGTACAGAGCGCATGATTATCGGGATCACCTTCCTTTGTACAGGTTTGTTTTATTCTACCTTTACCCTTCATTTTCTCTATTCCAGATCGCAATTTCTCAATGAGCTCCAGGGGGCGGCGACTCTCGCTCGTGATCATTCGACCTGTGACGGCAGTGATCCTCAGGTCAACCTGGTCTTCGTCAAGACCCACAAGACCGGCAGCACCACCCTCTCCCACATCATCAACCGATTTGGCTACACTCGAGGCCTGTCCTTCGCCATCAACAAGAAGAGCGTGCACAACGGCCACCTTGGCTACATCCCTCTCGGCAAAGACAGTCCTCGTGAAACCTTCCTGCCGCCCATCGGCGTCTCCAAGTACGCCATCACCAAGTTCAAATACAACCTCATGACCGTCCACGTGCGTTACGACCGGGCAGCCATCGATTCCTTTATGAAGTCACCGACCCGCTATGTGACCATACTCCGAGACCCCGGCTTCCAGTTCGAGTCTGCTTTCTCGCATTTCCAGTTCGACGACGCCTTCCTCACTCAGGAGAAAAAAGTCTACTCCACGGCGACGTCCAGGCTGGCCCGCTTCCTGGATGCGGCTAGTTTCTACCGGGAGAGACTCAAGCATCTGAATTGGGAAGGTCAGAAGGGCCTGCGATGGTACTACGCCAAGAACAACCAGATGTACGACCTTGGATTGGACCACACTTACCACACTGACCAAGAGGTGGTGGATGCTTACATCCGGAAGTTGGAAGCCGAATTGGACCTGGTGCTGATCACTGAGTACTACGACGAGTCGCTGCTGCTCCTCAAATCCATGATGTGCTGGGACACGGACGATGTCCTGTACGTGGCCAAGAACATGCGGCCTCCGACCTCTGCGGATACCGTGCCGGAGTCGCTGCGCGCCCGGATGCGGAAGTGGAACGCCGTGGACGCGAAACTGCACGCACACTTCAACCGATCCCTGTGGGAAAGGATCGAGCGGTACGGGCCAGCGTTCCAATCCGACCTTGCCAAATTTCGCGAGGAACTCGAAAGCGTCTTCCAAAGCTGCGTCGGGGACCTGAAGATCTCAAGTCAGGGGAGGTTCAGGTACTCTAATTACCGAGTGAGAGCGGGCTCGGGGGTCAACTGCACTCTGATTGCGGAGTCGAAATCGAGTCTCTTCTCCTCTATATGGGGGCAACAAGCCCAACGCAGAAGCATCAATTAATTCCAGTTTCTGATGCAAGAAGGACAACGTTGTCGAAACATCGACGGATTCAGGAATACATAATTGTATAAGTTTCAAACCGAGAAGTCAATTATGGACACTTATATAGCGCTTTTAACTAACATCAAAGCGCGTACATCTTACTTACCCTGCAGAGAAGGCCAATGACGCATTCCATTCCAAGTGACAAGCTCAGCGCCCTGGGGAGTATATAGGCCTATAGCTCGATGCTTTATAGCCATTTCGGCACAAATAGGCCATAAAATCAATCACAGTAACCATCTCTGCCCTCACAGGTACCCACTGTGGGGAGGATCAATGAGTGGCAAAGTATCTTGCGCGATGGCACACGCATGCACCACAGTAACCCCAGGCTGCTCTCGAACCCACAATTACCTGCAGAATTACCTGCATGACATCAATGATCCAGACCAGGAGGCCGGGGTACTCCACAATGATTTTTCTCATCCACGATAAAAGTCGTGATCAATAGAAAATCGAGGAGATGCATAGTCACGATCCTGTCATATTGTCTTAATTGCTACTCGTTTTGATCCTGCATTATGGTCATACATGACTCAGTGACAATATTATATTGTGTACAATTTTCTCTTCAATGTGACATCCGCATTGAATGCAGCGCTTTTCTTAAAAAAAAACAAACTGAACAAATGTTTTCAGCTTGTAAGATACACGTACGATGAAAAATATAAAGCACCTTTGTATAGGCCCACATTTTTGTGGACTCGATCTGAGCAAAACATTCACATTTTTGAGAAGCAATTAATGAACGACTTTGTAAATACTGTACAGTAAAGTCATAAAACAGAAGAAGAAAACACGTACTTAGGGGTGCTACTTTCTGTTAATTTGGGTTAATTAACATGCTCATCGGGGTATGATCACGTCCGGTGGATCACGTCCTGATTGGATACCCAAATTGGCTAGTAATGGATTTTTATCGTGTACTTGGTGCTATATATTCACAACGTGCATTACGTGTTTTCGCGATCATTCGTCCACGCCTTCTCGAAAATACTAATTTCCTTTCCAATTTGCTAATATTAATATGAAATATGATACTGCATGTTGTCTCGATTAGATCGTAACAGTTTGATTTCAAAAATCGTGTTTTCGTAACTCACGCCGTGCTCGCGCTGCTACGAATTGACTCTGTTTTTACCCCAGACAACGCATACAAAAACAAACGCTAATGTGTAACGCATATCCAGGCACCAGACTGTTCCTCATTTGCGTACGTGTGCAAAAATCTTGCACATGCAAATGATCCAATACCAGGGTGAGAGAGCAGGTAGTGGTGGGCGCGTACTGCTCGACACCCTGGGGACGAGGTTGTAGACATATGACTGCATGCATAGCGCTAGCGAAGATATCGTTTACCGCAACCTCGTCCCCAGGGTGTCGAGCAGTACGCGCCCACCACTACCTGCTCTCTCACCCTGGTATTGGATCATTTGCATGTGCAAGATTTTTGCACACGTATGCAAATGAGGAACAGTCTGGTGCCTGGATATGCGTTACACATTAGCGTTTGTTTTTGTATGCGGTGTCTGGGGTAAAAACAGAGTCAATTCGTAGCAGCGCGAGCACGGCGTGAGTTACGAAAACACGATTTTTGAAATCAAACTGTTACGATCTTATCGAGGCAACATGCAGTATCATATTTCATATTAATATTAGCAAATTGGAAAGGAAATTAGTATTTTCGAGAAGGCGTGGACGAATGATCGCGAAAACACGTACTGCACGTTGTGAATAATAGCACCAAGTACACGATAAAAATCCATTACTAGCCAATTGCGGTATCGAATCAGGATACAGGAAGAAAGTTTCCTATCCAGGGTTTACTATTGGAAACGCGGTTGGAAATAAAGTAAGCACTGGGGACGAGGTTGCGTTTACCGCGCTACGCCCGGATGAATAACAACTAGCGCCTCACATTTTGCTATATGTTTACACGGCATTGTAACATTTTACTGTGTGGAAATGGTAGCATTGAAATAACTGTGTCTACTACTACTACTACTACTAGTACTGTTACTGAGCTCGTGATGCGGTATTGAGCTTCAAGTTCAATGTTCAAGTTGCCATATTTTTATAGACAGATTTCGTTCAAATAAGAACATCATTCGAACGGCTGATATTTAGCTGATAGGCAAAGCCGCATTTGGACTTTTGACATTCACAGGAAATTAAGGTAGGCCTTTTAAATTTAGTGATCCATAAATCATTTCAAATACATGTACTGTGAATTTGAGGAGGAAGGTCTGCACTGAGTATGCATATACATCATGAACATGGGGGCACATAATCACTGTCGAGCATGCAGTGAAGTGGACGGTCGGGCCGTTGATTACGAAAATCACTTGTGCATGTCAATTTCACGAATTAAACCACATGGGGCCATAGGATCATGGGGGGGGGGGGGGAGGTGCGGGACTGAGGATTTTTGTATTCAGCAAAATTTGGACTTTCGGGTGTCCAACAATGTAGCCTATTCGACCTCTTCATTGCGTGTGTGTGGTCCCCACAACTGGTAATACCATTTCATGACTTCTAAAAATGAAACTATGGCTAGAAGCAAAGGTGTTTTGAATGGGTGAGGAGAAGGATAAGGAATCTTGCAGTTGTAACTGGAAAGAATAGGTGTGGCGTGTCCTAGTCTTGTACCCAGTTGAGTACAAAAACAACTTGCGTTCATGCAGAGACTGGCGACCATGCATCTTTACACGGGAACTTTTGAAACCAAATGATAAATTCAGGTATTATATATAAATACTATTAACATTATTAAGACCTACTGTGGAATATACCACTTCAAACGGATTCATCAATTCACGTTGAAAAGAGTTGCAGTACGGGCCTACCCCCGGAAGGTGCACCGCACCCGGTGTGTTAAGTTATGAAATGTTGACTCCGTAAAAGAAAATCAGCGTCCGGGCCTTGTCACGCATGTCGCAGTTTTTATACACTGGATAAGAAACAATGCAGCTATATAGGCTTTAAATGTTGTATTAGGATAACCGTCCAATAGTCCTCAACGCAAACAGACATGATAAACATGCAGGTCCAAATTTCAGATCACACCCGAGTTCCATTTTAGTCTGTTACGTGACCGTCTCTCCGCGACGCGCCGTTCAGCCATGCACGGAATAAACATATTCCGTGAGGAGGATTTAAAGTCCTAATGTTTTGGTGCCGGGGGGAGTGGAGAGAGATTACGGCCAAAACGATCATCACCCCCACGATACCATTAGGATATGCACATAAAGAAGTGTACTCATACATCTGTATTCTGAAAAGGGCCACCTACTTTCCGCGCGCGACAATATCCAGACTCCCCCGTCCCCCTGGCTTATACCGACGACCGAGTTCAGGAATTGTCTTTTCATCATCATCATCCGGTGATAAAGCAATGAAAGGGGGAGTTCAAGCAAAAGGAGAAGGGGGAGGGGAAAAAGTGGGACAATGTAGAATGAACAATTCATTTTTGCCTTCTTTTCATTTGAAGCAACAAAAGTTTTCAAAATCTAAAGACGGATTAACAACTAACCCGGTGAAATTTTAGCTCTGTGAATTCTGTACATTTCGAGAAAACACACTATTCTCGATTTCAGTTAAAAAAATTGCATGTCATATTTTGAATTGCGCCCTCTCGTGACTCAATCCCAAAAATCAGCATTAGGGACAGGGTTCTCATTTCTCTCAGGAAATGACTTTCTTTTATCGTTTTCTTCAAAATGACAGCGTGCCAGAAGAAATAATTTCACAGGGAGTTTATTGCCATTACTATCTTTAAACCATGTAGGCTTTTAACAATAATTTGGTTGATTACTTTTTGGATAGCTGCAAATGGTCCACTCTAAAGTGCCATGTAGTCAATGAAATAAGAACTGCCTTGAATACAGCTACGCGGTTTTATAGGACTATACAACTGCATGTACAGCATGCGCACTCGAAACATCGATTGATGTCCCCCACCCCTAGTAATAATCTGGATTTCTCAGTGAGCTAATACCATTCTCCAACTCATGGAAACAAATAGACATGCCCCTGCTGTGACTTGTGATTGTGATTCCCGATCTATTTTTGTCATAATTTTCGTAGCTTCAAAGATGTACCGATTAGGCATCAAGGAGCTTCTGCAGCGCTTCAGTGACGGCACCTTGACATGCGAGGCCTACACAAGACGAGTCATCCAACGAGCCCAGGACCTGAAAGTCTTCAACTACTTCGTCTCCATGAATACGGATCGGATGCTGAAGGATGCCCAGGAGGCAGATGCCAGGTACAGGAACAAGACCAACCGGCCTCTGGAAGGCATCCCGATCGCCATGAAGGATAACATCGACATCGAAGGCGAGCCAACCGAAGCAGGTACCCCTGGTCTCGCCGGCCTGAAGCCCAAACACACGGCCGAGGTCGCTCGGAGGTTGTTCGATGCCGGGGCCATCCACGCCGGTCGAGCTAACATGCACGAGCTGGCTTTGGGAATCTCAAGCTGCAACGCTCATAAAGGGCCGTGCCACAACTTCCACAATTTTGACTACACCTGCGGGGGAAGTAGCGGCGGCAGCGGAGGGGCGGTCTCTGCAGACATCGTCCCGGCTGCCCTGGGTACTGACACTCGTGGATCGATCCGGATACCCTCCTCGTACAACGGGGTCTTCGGTCTGCGACCGACCAGCGGTCGCTGGCCGGCTGATTACGGTGCCAAGTTGTCTCATGTGAGAGACTCAGTGGGTCCCCTTGTACGCAGCGCCGTGGATATCGCGATCCTCGACTGCGTCATGACGGGAGAGGAACCCCACGAGGAACTGAAACCGGGACAGATCAGGATCGGGGTGCCCCGACCTCAGTTCTGGGAAGGTCTAGACGCCGAAGTGGAGGAGTACGCAGAGCGGTTTTTGGTCAGGCTGAAGGAGAAGAGCTTTGGGATTGTAGAGGTGCCAGAGATTCCCAGATCGAGGGAGTTGCTGGAAATATTCTTCACCATCAACCAAGAGATCATACCTCTGCTGGAGGAGTATCTGAGCTACAACGGCCATGACGTCACCGTGCAAAGCATCATCGACAAGATCGCCTCCCCAGATGTAAAGGAACTGTTTCAATACGCGATGGAGAATCGTCCAACCGAGGAGGAATGCAAGAACGCAATGGCTACCAGGGAAGAGGCCAGGAAGAATTTGAAGACCTACTTCGAGGACCACCGCCTGGACTGCATCATTGTCCCGGCCAACAAGATCCCGCCGCCTACCTTACGCGCTTTCGAGGATCGAAATACCGAGCTCCGGAGGCTGATCACGCAGAATGTCGACTTCGGCAGCAACTGCAACAACCCTTCCCTCGTTATTCCCGGCGGGATTGCACAGCGTAGCGGTGTTCCCTTCGGCATGCAGATCGAGGGATACGCGGGCAGTGACAGGCGGGTGATCGCCGTGGCGGTAGCTATTGAGAAAGCGCTGAACTTGTAAACATTAAAACAACGAACTATCACGGGCCTTGGACTCAATATTAATGTCCTCATAAATATTTGGAAAACGTTTATGAAAATAGAGCCGGAACTGTACAGATTTTTAATTGGTGGAGGCCGGTTCATATATGTCTTGCGAATGCGAAGCGAATAGAGCCTGAATGTAAGCCCTTAATTTGAGCTTCCGGACCCTTCGCACGACCCCTCTATGAGCATTTTCCACCGGGGTGCCCTTGCTTTTGCTAACAATTGTGACAGAACGATTTCTAACCGTAATCACCCCAAGAAACAATAATGCTGGAAATGTATCTTGACTTTTCACAAGAATAAAATGATGAGAAGTCAGGTGCAGATGCACGGGTAAAAACGAATTGTACTGTCCGACCTTTCACATCCGGCATTTTCGTATCTATAGGTCCCCTTGTTCGAACACGTTTATTTTCACATTGCGTACTTGCGTGATTAGGTTTTGCTTGAATACAGTTCTCATTAACGGTCATTTTAGATTTGTTTGTAAATGATAGTGAGTCCCTCAAGTTTATTTAAAAAAAAAAAACTATATGTCCTCCAAGACATTTTATTCTCAATCAGTGATCGCCACAAAATTATTTCATAACGTTCGGCGGTTGAACAGTGTTGGGTGTTAATTCTTACCTTATTCGGACACGATGGCTTCAGTTTCTTTCCAAAATTTGTTGTCACTAGCAAAATAGACTTTGATTTAATATTGCTGATCTTTACTGATTGAAATTAGACTGTCCACTGTCAAATTGGACTTCAGTCACTGTGGACTGCTTAAGTTTGAACAAGATATAGTTCATATATACGCAAGCATTTTATATTGCTGAAGTCATGGATGCTTATGGTCAGTATACAAGTACAAAGTCCACGAGCCAGGGTCCGACATCGGCACAGTGCATGGACCATTGACCAAATAAATTATATCTCATTGGGTATCTCTCAGATTTTCTCAGATGGCCGCACTCCTCCAAATATTACAAACCTATAATGCGAGTCAACTTTTGATGTGATCCCTTGATGTACGCCTCGGGTCAATGGGGTCAGCTGGCTGGCTGCCACATGGTCGGCGTTATAACCCGTTAAGCCTATTTATCGAGGAACTGAAACCGGGGCAGATCAGGATCGGGGTGCCCCGACCTCAGTTCTGGGAAGGTCTAGACGCCGAAGTGGAGGAGTACGCAGAGCGGTTTTTGGTCAGGCTGAAGGAGAAGAGCTTTGGGATTGTAGAGGTGCCAGAGATTCCCGGATCGAGGGAGTTGCCGGAAATATACTTCACCATCAACCAAGAGATCATACCTCTGCTGGAGGAGTATCTGAGCTACCACGGCCATGACGTCACTGTGCAAAGCATCATCGACAAGATCGCCTCCCCAGATGTAAAGGAACTTTTTCAATACGCGATGGAGAATTGTCCAACCGAGAAGGAATGCAAGAACGCAGTGGCTACCAGGGAAGAGGCCAAAAAGAATTTGATGACCTACTTCGAGGACCACCGCCTGGACTGCATCATTGTCCCGGCCAACAAGATCCCGCCGCCTACCTTACGCGCTTTCGAGGATCGAAATACCGAACTCCGGAGGCTGATCACGCAGAATGTCGACTTCGGCAGCAACTGCAACAACCCTTCGCTTGTTATTCCCGGCGGGATTGCACAGCGTAGCGGTGTTCCCTTCGGCATGCAGATCGAGGGATACACGGGCAGTGACAGGCGGGTGATTGCCGTGGCGGTAGCTATTGAGAAAGCGCTGAACTTGTAAACATCCAAACAACGAACTATCACGGGCCTTGGACTCAATATTAATGTTCTCATAAATATTTGGAAAACGTTTATGAAAATAGAGCCGGAACTGTACAGACTTTTAAATTGGTGGAGGCCGGTTCATAATGTCTTATCTTGCGAATGGGAAGCGAATAGAGCCTGAATGTAAGCCCTATTGTATGGAATTCCATCTCTGCCAAGTTACACGGCGCATGTTTGGGAGATCACGGCGCATTGTCGCATAGTCGCATTGTCGCATAGTCGCATTGTCGCATAGTCGCATAGTCGCATTGTCGCATAGTCGCATTGTCGCATTGTCGCATAGTCGCATAGTCGCATAGTCGCATTGTCGCATTGTCGCATAGTCGCATAGTCGCATAGTCGCATAGTCGCATAGTCGCATTGTCGCATAGTCGCATAGTCGCATTGTCGCATAGTCGCATTGTCGCATTTTCATTCATTAATTTTCCAGGGCTTCACCAAGGGGGCGCTGTCGTGCGGTGTTTGGGTGCAACTAATTTGGTCATCCTCCCCATATTCCAGTTGCTTTCGAGTTAGAAATCGTGCCAAAAGATGAATAGGCTTACATCTTCAGAGTATACATTAATGAATCCTTATATGCGTTGCCAAGAGAACAGTATCCTTTTGAAATGCATGTACCCGCAAGCCTTAGGCCTAACGCTATATAGTTAATCGCCCGAATGTATCGATATTTTAAACAATTGGAGGGTATCCAGAACTAATAATTAATACAATAGATGACCGCGGCAGGACCCGCCCGTCACTAGATACCGTTGGACACGGTCCACCGTACTTTTATTTCCATATTCAAACGATAGCCTGCCCCCTCCGACTGTTAATTTGTGAATACATATTTTTTAATTGACTTGTTGTAGTTGTAACTATTGCTATTATCGGTCAGATGTGATGTCACAAAATGGAATTCTGGCACCTGATTGGTCAGTTTGGCTTCTCCATGTTTCTCTCTTGAGTGAAAGTTTTTATTGGGCATGTCTATGACTATGAGTGAGCATGTCAAATTCAACAGCTCCGACCGACTCAATACTAGAATAATCAGGGTTAGAATCCAGAAGAGAAGAGAATAAATTGTAGCTTCTCATAAGAACTCTGTTTAATGTTGCATCCTGTTTCTATGTATTTCCTTTGTATGTGTTGCAGAAATGTTGAAAAGCTATGGACCTAATTCTAAAAAAATTAAAGCTTTAGTTAGGACATAGGCCTATGTTCTTATATTTGAACTTGAGCTACAATGATGTTTTCCATTTGACCTAGTTTCTATGAATGTTACATATTTTCACTTACATGAAATTCCCAGGGTATGATCTGATCTGCCATTACTTTGCAGCTGGTTACACCTATCCTGAAATTTGTGGCATTTTTGAGATTCGACATGGTCTTCGTTGCAGGTAATTTATGATTAAAAATAATGTTTGAGAAAAACAGTCCTTTTTAAAAACGTAAGATAATCCAATTAAATCAAGAGGTGCAAGAAAAAGTGTTTGCCAAATCCCTCCTTGCCAAAATGCCATGGAATCATTCTTTCCGAACCTTTCCGACATGAGCAAGCCAAAAAAAACCCCTACAGACATTTTAAAGATACCCCATTAAAGATGAAGAAATAGGCCTAGTTCCACAAAAGAAGTTCACTTGGCAGCAGTTGCATATGGCCCATGAGACTGACATGGTATTGCTTTTTATGAAATTAGTACATGGGAAAAGTAAAAAAAAACCTTCATAATTATGTGAAACACAATTGATTATGTATTAATGTTTCATTTCGTGCATAGTATAAGAACCTTGCACCGTATCCTGCGAAGGTTTAATCTAGATGATAGGGCACTTGGTCAGTTTCTCCTTAATTTAGAGGTAAGCATTTGCTTTTCAAAGTACTTAACTAAAGAGTGATGTGGACTCGACCACTGAGTTAATTGTGTCTGGTTATCTGCAAGTTTCCGTCCAAGAATCAGGGAAGTAATCTGTCAAACATGTTTTTAACATGTTTTTATTGTTATGGTTACTAATGGCCACTATTAAAAACTGTCAAATCAATTTGATTTTGTTTCCATTTATTCCCTATATACATGGAACATAAATAATATTTATTATCTTTCCTTTTTATGTACTTTCGCTAGGATGAATTACGCTAGGATGAAAAACATGCACCGTGTAACTTGGCAGAGATGGAATTCCATACGATCGAGCGCGCCCTCATTTGACGAAACTCAAGATAGGCCCCTATAAAATGCGACAATGCGACTATGCGACTATGCGACTATGCGACAATGCGACTATGCGACAATGCGACTATGCGACTATGCGACTATGCGACTATGCGACTATGCGACTATGCGACTATGCGACTATGCGACAATGCGACTATGCGACTATGCGACTATGCGACTATGCGACTATGCGACTATGCGACTATGCGACTATGCGACTATGCGACAATGCGACTATGCGACTATGCGACTATGCGACTATGCGACTATGCGACTATGCGACAATGCGACTATGCGACAATGCGACTATGCGACGGCACGACGCGACTATGCGACGGCACGACGCGACTATGCGACGGCACGACGCGACTATGCGACGGCCCTATACAAACAGTACAAAACAATGCGACGGCACGACGCGACGGCACGACGCGACTATGCGACGGCACGACGCGACAATGCGCCGTCGACGGCGCATGTTTGGGAGGCTTGCTTGGATCTCCCAAACATGCGCCGTGTAACTTGGCAGAGATGGAATTCCATACTATTGAGCTTCCGGACCCTTCACACGACCCCTCGATGAGTATTTTCCACCGGGGTACCCTTGCTTTTGCTAACAATTGTGACAGAACGATTTCTAATCGTAATCACCCCAAGAAACAATAATGCTGGAAATTTATCATTTTCTTTTTCCTGTTGCCAATTTTTACGAGGAACAGTTTTAATTTTGTATTACTGTAACAGATCATTCCAAGTTCAAACAAGATAGTTCATATACACGCAAGCATTTTGTACTGTTGAAGTCATGGGTATGGGTTCGCTCGTACCCCCCGCCCTGCAAACAGGACGCTGGGATACTCTGATGAGCTTCACAGAATCTTGTGAAGGAAGTGGCATAGCTATGACCTATGTTTATCTGGCTGCAGCTGTTCAAGACCGCAGTTGGAATATGTGCGCAAATGCTATCCGAAATGTTCATATAAAAATGCACACGTTCCATATCGGATGTGATTTCTGTTTCATTGCGGACCATGTGGACACAATTTTGAGCGTCGCATATGACCGTTCGTGATTCGAAACAGAGCCTGAGCAAGTACAGATAAGTTTTACAGAAGTTCCTACATTATTACGCTTTTCAACGAAAAAAAACCCCAAATCTCTAAACAGGAAAAAAAGAGTAATGAGTCAGTCTTAACGGCCGTTTCTAACCTTGCCGAGTCATGACCGTGATGACGCGACGGTCACAGGTCACGCATAATCCAACCAATCAGAGCGTGAATTCATCAGAGTATCCCAGCGTCCTGTTTGCAGGGCGGGGGGGGGGGGGGGGGGGGGGTACGAGCGAAGGATAAACCGCTTAACCTCGTCCCCAGTGCTTACTTTATTTCCAACACGGTTTCCAATAGTAAACCCTGGATAGGAAACGTTCCTCCTGTATCCTGATTCGATACCGCAATTGGCTAGTAATGGATTTTTATCGTTTACTTGGTGTTTTTATTCACAACGTGCAGTACGTGTTTTCGCGATCATTCGTCCACGCCTTCTCAAAAATATAAATTTCCTTTCCAGTTTGTTAATATTAATATGAGATGTGATAGTGCATATTGTTTCGTTAAGATCGTAACCGTTAATTGAATAAAAATCGTGTTTTCGTAACTCACGCCATGCTCGCGCTGCGACGAATTGACTCTGTTTTTACCCCAGACACCGCATACAAAAACAAACGCTAATGTAACGCACATATGCAGGCACCAGACTATTCTCATTTGCATACGTGTTCAAAAATCTTGCACATGCAAATGATCCAATACCAGGGTGAGAGAGCAGGTAGTGATGGGCGCGTACTGCTTGACACCCTGGGTACGAGGTTGTAAACCGCTCCGTTCACGAGTACCCCCTCACCGGCAAAGAAAGTACAGTTGGGGGGTGACCGACCGACGCCATCTTGCCTGACTGCAATTCATTTGCCGCCAAGCGCTATCAAAGCACGTCCACTGCGTGTACATAGTACAAATCCCCTGGTGTACCGTGCGTCCCACACAAGGAACGGAATCTCCCGCCCATGGGACGTCGTTGCTATAGGTACAAGGGCGTACAAGGTTCAAGTACAAGGTCAAAGCCAAGGTCCGACATCGGCCATCGACCAGATAAATTATATCTCATTTGGGTACCTCTCAGATTTCTCAGATGGCCGCACTCCTCCAAAATATTACAAACCTAGTATAATGCGAGTCAACTTTTGATGTGATCCCTTGATGTACGCCTCGGGTCAATGGGGTCAGCTGGCTGGCTACCACTTGTCGGCGATATGTAACCTGGAATTTCAATTCACATGTCGAGGCATTCACCAGGTTTGCTTTTGTAATTAAACCATTGTGAAGGGTGCTCTAGCTACATTCACGCTGTTACTGAGCTCGTGATGCGGTATATATTGAGCCAAGTGTAGCCATTTTGCTATAGACAGATCATTATCCCGATCGTTCAAATAACACCACCATTCGAGCTGCTGATAATTAGCTGATAGGCAAAGCCACATTTGGACTTTTGACATTCACAGGAAATTAAGGTAGGCCGTTTAATTTTAGTGATCCTTAAATCATTTTAAATATATGTACTGTGATTTTGAGAAGGAATAAGGTCTGCACTCTGTACGCCAACATCATGAATATGGGGGCACATAACCAGTGTCGAGCATGCAGTGAAGTGGATTTTGTCGGGCCCATGACTACGAAAATGTGCATGCCATTTTCACGAATAAAACCACATGGGACATAGGATTGGGGGGGGGGGGGGTGCGGGACTGAGGATTTTTTGTTATTCAGCAAAATTTGGACTTTCGGGTGTCCAACAATGTAGCCTATTTGACCTCTTCATTACGTGTGTGTGGTCCCCACAGCTGGTAGGCCTAATACCATTTCATGACTTCTAGAAATGAAACTGTGGCTAGAAGCAAAGGTGTTTTGAATGGTTGAGGGAGAAGGATCAGGAATCTTGAAGTTGTAAATGGAAAGAATAGGTGTGGCGTGTCCTAGTCTTGTACCCATCCCCATATAACAACTTGCGTTTAGAGACTGGCGACCATGCATCTTTACACGGGAACCTTTGAAACCAATGATTATTGTATAAATTCGGGTGTTATATATGAATACTATTAACATTATTAAGACCTACTGCGGAATACCACTTCAAACGGATTCATCAATTCACGTTGAAAAGAGTTGCAGTGCGGGCCTACCCCCGGAAGGTGCACCGCACCCGGTGTGTTATGAAATGTTGTCTCCGTAAAAGAAAATCAGCGTCCGGGCTTGTCACGCATGCCGCAATTTTTATACACAGGATAGGAAAATATTGGCTGGTGACAGGGCCTTCTCTGTTGCCGCCTCCCGGCTATGGAACAACCTGCCCATTTCCATCAGAAACTCAGGCAGTGTCTTTTCCTTCAAAAAGGCTCTCAAGACCTAACTTTTCCCCCAAACGTAGCTGCATGTCCTTTTTTTGTTGTTTTTGTCTTCTATTCCTCTTTCTTCTTTTCCAGCGCTTTGTATCCTTTGGTAACTTGGCGCTATTCAAATCCAGTTATTATTATTATTATTATTATTAAAAGATGAAGCTAGGCTTAAATTGTTGTATTAGGATAACTGTCCAATTATAGTCCTCAACGCAAAGAGACATGATTAAACATGCAGGTCCAAATTCCATATCACACCCGAGTTCCATTTTAGTCTGTCACGTGACCGTCGCTCCGCGACGCGCCGTTCAGCCAGGCATGGAATTAACATATTCCATGAGGAAGATTATTTTAAAGGATGAATTGTCATTACTATCTTTAAACCATGTAGGCTTTTAACAATAATTATTTTGGTAGCTGCAAATAGTCCACTCTAAAGTGCCATGTAGTCAATGAAATAAGAACTGCCTTGAGTACAGCTACGCGGTTTTATATGACTACATGTATACAACTACATGTACAGCACTTGCAACATCGATTGATGTCCCCCACCCCTAATAATAATCTGGATTTCTCAGTAAGCTAATACCATTCTCCAACTCATGGAAACAAATAGACATGCCCCTGCTGTGACTTGTGATTGTGATTCCCGATCTATTCTTGTCATTATTTTCGTAGCCTCAAAGATGTACCGATTAGGCATTAACGACCTTCTGCAGCAATTCAGTGATGGCTCCTTGACATGCGAGGCCTACACAAAACGAGTCATCCAACGAGTCCAGGACCTGAAAGTCTTCAACTACTTCGTCTCCATGAATACGGATCGGATGCTGAAGGATGCCCAGGAGGCAGATGCCAGGTACAAGAACAAGACCAACAGGCTTCTTGAAGGCATCCCGATCGCCATGAAGGATAACATCGACATCGAAGGCGAGCCGACCGAAGCAGGTACCCCTGGTCTCGCCGGCCTGAAGCCCAAACACACGGCCGAGGTCGCTCGGAGGTTGTTCGATGCCGGGGCCATCCACGCCGGTCGAGCTAACATGCACGAGCTGGCTTTTGGAATCTCAAGCTGCAACGCTCATAAAGGGCCGTGCCACAACTTCCACAATTTTGACTACACCTGCGGGGGAAGTAGCGGCGGCAGCGGAGGGGCGGTCTCTGCTGACATCGTCCCGGCTGCTCTGGGTACCGACACTGGTGGGTCGATCCGGATACCCTCCTCGTACAACGGGGTCTTCGGTCTGCGACCGACCAGCGGTCGCTGGCCGGCTGATTACGGCGCCAAAATGTCTCATGTGAGAGACTCAGTGGGTCCCCTGGTACGCAGCGCCGTGGATATTGCGATCCTCGACGGCGTCATGACTGGAGAACAACCCCACGAGGAACTGAAACCGGGGCAGATCAGGATCGGGGTGCCCCGACCTCAGTTCTGGGAAGGTCTAGACGCCGAAGTGGAGGAGTACGCAGAGCGGTTTTTGGTCAGGCTGAGGGAGACGGGCTTTGGCATTGTAGAGGTACCGGAGGTTCCCGGGTCGAGGGAGTTGCTGGAAAAATACTTTATGGTGACCATCAACCAAGAGGTTATACCTCGGCTGGAGGAGTATCTGAGCTACCACGGCCACAACGTCACAGCGCAAAGCGTCATCGACAAGATCGCCTCCCCAGATGTGAAGGGATACTTTCGATACGTACAGGAAAATCCCCCGACCGAAGAGGAATACAAAAAGGCAATGGCTGCCAGGGAAGAGGCCAGGAAGAATCTGAAGACCTACTTCGAGGACCACCGCCTGGACTGCATCCTGGTCCCGGCCAACAAGATCCCGCCGCCTACCTTACGCGCCTTCGAGGATCGAAACTCCGAGCTCGTTGGGCTGATCACGCAGAATGACGACTTCGGCAACATCTGCAATAACCCTTCGCTGGTTATTCCCGGAGGGTTTGCGCGGCGTAGCGGTGTTCCCTTCGGCATGCAGATCGAGGGATACACGGGCAGTGACAGGCGGGTGATCGCCGTGGCGGTAGCTATTGAGAAAGCGCTGAACTTGTAAACATTCAAACAGCGAACTATCACGTGCCGTGGACTCAAAATTAATGCCCGCATAAACATGTGGGAAAATATTTTTGAAAATAGGGCCTGAATGGTAGAGGCCGGTTTATACGTCATGCGAATGCGAAGCGAATAGAGCCTGATAGACCGGCAGCATTTTGTCTATGGGCTTCTAGACCCGCGCGAGGGCCCTCGCCCGACCCGCCTTTTGGCTTTTTAATTTTTTTGTTTTCCATTTATTACAATATTGCAAATCTAGTTATTACAATCTTTAGAAAGTACATAGATAACAATCGTAAATGATATACACAACATTAATTAATATATTTAAGAACCATAGGTTATAATAATATGGTTTTATCATTTTGAATATACTTAATTATACAAGTGTAAACAGCAGTAAGCATATTAATTAAATAGATATATACAGTTAAGTCATAAAATGTTGCCAGAAGTCTTTTTTTTTCTTTTGTAACTTTGCCCTAAATAATAGCTCTGTAATGAACACATTAAAAATATTTATCCTTTTATATTCTATACTCATTTTGATTCGTGCTTTATGTAATGAAAGCATTGCTATCGTAATTATTAAATGAACCTCACGTCTTCAATCAAAACCTGTTAATAGGTTTGACAATGTGATAAAACTACTTTTTGTTTTTTTCTTGACAATGTCGGTGTGATAAAACTACTTTTTGTTTTTTTCTTGATAGTAAACCTTTAATTGATTCCAGAATTCAATTGTTTGTAAACAGAATGCGTGTTTATAGCCGTCAATCGTGTCACACATTGAGCATAACGGACTATTCTCAATTTTCCATTTATACAATAAATCTTTCGTTGCTATTAGACGATGCATGAGTCTGTAATTGAAGTTTCTCAACTTTATTTCTTTAATGTCGACTATTTTCTTTTTTCCATGTGGAAGTCCAATTAATCTTTACCAAGTACGTTTTCCCACCACGATTCAACCTGAGGTGTTTTACTTCTTTCGTCTATCAATTTATTATAAATATTTCTAGTTGTAATGTATTCTAGATTACCTAGACTAGGATAAACATGAAGTTTAATATCAACACCGATCTTTTCTTTACTGTCTACTATCATTGGTAACCAGTCTTTTGGTAAGGCTCTTTTTAACATGAATATTTCGACTAACCAATCCCGTTTTGTAGTCAACTTTGTTTTAAGATAGTTCATAGAAAATACCCCATCTTCATTAAACAGATCATTTACATAAATAATGTTAGATTTTATACAACTACGGAAAATAGTATTTTACCATTGAAAGTTATATAAGTTGGTTGTTGTGTTTTTATTTGTATACATAGGCCAATCCATACAAGTGTGTTAAACACCTTAAATCGTGGACTGGACCCCCTTTTGTCCCTCTTTTGTTTGTACTTGTTAGAAGATGTTTTGTACACGATCGTCAGTTATTGTGGACATTTGAGAATTGTTGACCCTCTGATGTCCATATTGATCAGCGTCCCCCATTGAAAGCAAACCCACACACGCAGAGTAAAGTTTTTAAAAAGTTTTAGGGTCCCTCTCAAAATTTTCGATTTCACCAACTGACGCTGTACAGCATACATGTACATGTAAGCCCTACATCTATAACATTAACGTGTTGAGTCTGTTGTACCGACCATGGGCGTCGATTGGTGGGGACGGGGGAAATGTTAACTAGCTAGCTATTTTGTCCCCGAAAAAAAAATGCCACCTACATTATGATTAGTCTAGAGCTCAGAAGTAGCCGATTTAATGACTCCAAACCCGAAAGTGGTGTTTAAATGATGATCTTTGCTAAAACAAATTGGTTAAAGTGATCACAAATTGCCTCATGATATCGCACCACAGAGGTTTTTTTCGGGGCCCTTTAAGCGTGCCTTGAACCCCACTTCGTTTAGATTTCGCACTCGCATTAGTTCATGGTCACTGTCATTCAAAAGGCGTTCCGCCGGAATTGGAATTATATAAACACCAAATCGCAAACCAGGGTTTTCTAAAAAAAAAATTGAATTCTTGAGGGCGCTATCACGTTACTGTATATCCACGCGTTAGAAAAATGTACAAAACGAGTTTTTCACTGTGCCAAAAAGTTAGCAAAATCACTGATATCTTTAAGTGATATTGTATTAAGCGACTGAATGGCGTTCAGGGTGAGTGTTCTCGAATTGTGTTATTTGTTCAAACTTTAATAGTACAGATTCAATAGTTTTTGTAGTTTGATGATAATTCTGCGTAGGCTACACGTACATGTACAATGTACATGTACAATGTAAATGGACATGTAAATGTACATGTACATTGTACTATGTACATTGTACGTGTACAACACGCAACATGTGCTACGTGTTGTATTAATACATGTAACGCACTAAGGTCAGAGGTCAAATAGTCCATTTTCGAGTATAATTTAAATCACTGTTTTCATGTTTTCAAGTTACGATTTAAGCGTTTAATGACAGAGTTAATGAATATGCATGAGCTAAGGTCAACATGTTCTGGAGTGATCGACTTGAGTTGATAACTGTTTTTGCTGGATTATTTTTGATTTCAATGTTTTTATTGTAGATTTATAGGTGAATTTAGTATGAGAATTGTCACTTAGCCTTCATTTCAGGATCGCCTTCATGTACTGGACTGTATAACCATGGAGGAATAAGAATAACTGAACTGAACTGAACTGAACTGCACTGATGTGGAAATGAGTGTTTACTGAACTGCTGTAGTTGTATCCGGTCACAGTAGTAAGTTTGATTTGTCCGTTTGAAATGAGAGCTTTTTGAAAGGTTTCTGAACTTTGTTTTCTAAACTGCATTGTTGCATTTGATTCAAGTGTTTGCGCTGTAACAATTTTTCTGGTAACTTTTGAACCGAATAAAAACAACGTCACAAAATAAAGAAAAATGTTTGGGATCATTCATTAGATAATTGAATTTGATTTTTTTTCTCATAAATTCCGAGAATTCTGTACACCTCCAGAGGGAAATCCTGAATACATACTATAATAGGCCTACAACCACTTCAAACGGATTAATTAATTAATGTCGAAAATTGCTCGATCTGCGCTGGTGTAGTGGTGTGAAATTTTGACTCCGCTGAAAAAATTGGACTCATCAGTTTGGCCATGTCATGCATGACATACACAGGAAAAACAACACTAGGTGAGTCCTGTACGGGAAGTAACCACGCATCCAACTATATACTCCTGAATGCAAAGAGACTTAATTTTAAACATGGATGTCAAAATTCCATAGAAACAAATAGGCACGCCCTTGCTGTCACTTGTTATTGTGATTCCTGATCTATTTTTGTCATTACTTTCTTTAGCCTCCAAGATGTACCGATTAGGCATCAACGACCTTCTGCAGCGCTTCAGTGATGGCACCTTAACATGCGAGGCCTACACAAGACGAGTCATCCAACGGGCCCAGGACCTGAAAGTCTTCAATTACTTCGTCTCCATGAACACGGATCGGATGCTGAAGGATGCCCAGGAGGCAGATGCCAGGTACAGGAACAAGACCAACCGGCCTCTTGAAGGCATCCCGATCGCCATGAAGGATAACATCGACATCGAAGGCGAGCCGACCGAAGCAGGTACCCCTGGTCTCGCCGGCCTGAAGCCCAAACACACGGCCGAGGTCGCTCGGAGGTTGTTTGATGCTGGGGCCATCCACGCAGGTCGAGCTAACATGCATGAGCTGGCTTTTGGAATCTCAAGCCGCAACGATCATAAAGGACCGTGCCACAACTTCCACAATTTTGACTACACCTGCGGGGGAAGTAGTGGTGGTAGTGGCGGGGCAGTCTCTGCTGACATCGTCCCGGCTGCCCTGGGTACTGACACTGGTGGGTCGATCCGGATACCCTCCTCATACTGCGGGGTCTTCGGTCTACGACCGACCAGTGGTCGCTGGCCGGCTGATTACGGCGTCAAGATGTCTCATGTGAGAGACTCAGTGGGTCCCCTGGTACGCAGCGCTGTGGATATCGCGATCCTCGACGGCGTCATGACGGGAGAAGAACCCCACGAAGAATTGAAACCGGGACAGATCAGAATCGGGGTGCCCCGGCCTTCCTTCTGGGAAGGTCTAGACGCTGAAGTGGAGGAGTATGCAGAGCGTTTTTTGGTCAGGCTGAAGGAGAAAGGCTTTGGGATTGTAGAGGTGCCGGAGGTTCCTGGGTCGAGGGAGTTGCTGGAGAAATATGTCCAGGCGACCGTTTACAAAGAGATGATACCTCGACTGGAGGGGTATCTGAGCTACCATGGCCATGACGTCACTGCACAAAGCGTCATCGACAAAATCGCCTCCCCAGATGTAAAGGGATACTTTCAATACGCGCTGAAAAATCCCCCGACCGAAGAGGAATACAAAAAGGCAATGGCTACCAGGGAAGAGGCCAGGAAAAATCTGAGGCCTTTCTTCGAGGACCACCACCTGGACTGCATCCTGGTTCCGGCCAACAAGATCCCCCCGCCTACCTTACGCACTTTTGAGGATCGAAACTCCGAGCTCTTGGGGCTGATCACGCAGAATGACGACTTCGGCAACATCTGCAACAACCCTTCGCTGGTTATTCCCGGTGGGTTTGCACGGCGTAGTGGTGTTCCTTTCGGCATGCAGATCGAGGGATACACAGGCAGTGACAGGCGGGTGATCGCTGTGGCGGTAGCAATTGAGAAAGCTCTGAACTTGTAAACATTAAAACAACAAACTATCACACAGGCTGTGGACTCAATATTAATCTCCTCATCAATATCTATGAAGTTCATACGTCTTGCGCATGCGAATGCGAATGCGAGGTGAATAGAGCCTGAAAGTTCACCATTTTGTCTTGGGGCTTCTGGACCCCTGGGCATTTCACACTTGGTTGCCCTTTCTCTTGCTATAAATTCTAACCGTAACCACCCCAAGAAACATCTATGTTTGAATTTTATCTTGGCATTCCAAAAGAACAAATAATGAGAAAGCAGTTGGAGATGCATGGGTACCAACGAATTTTACATGTCGGGGGGACATGTCGTCACCCCCCCCCCCCCCCCCCACTGTTTCTGTCCCCGGAAAAAAAGTGGCCTACATTTGATTCAGAATAGCTGATTCAGTGACTCCAAACTGGAAAAAATGTTTAAATGATTATCTTTTGCTAAAACAAAATTGGTTAATGTGGTCAGATATCTTAGATCGCACTACAGAGCGTCTAGAATCCATTTTTTTCGGGGCCACACCCATGGGCGTCGCGAGGGGGGGGGCAAGGGGGGGCACTTGCCCCCCCCCCCTGGAAAAGCAAAAAAAAAAAAAAAGGAAGAAAAAAGGAAGAAAAAAAAGAAAAGAAAAAGAGGCGCGAAGACAAAGTGGTGTAAATTTAATGAGTGGGGGGGGGGGGGGAATGTCCCTGCCCCCCTCTAAAACTGATAAATCGAGAATGTGTTGAGAAACGAGAATGTGTTGAGAAATACAAGCCTAATTTTTTTGGCAAAAAAAATTTTTGCCCCCCTCTAGAAAAAAATCCTGGCGACGCCCATGGCCACACCGCTATGTTCCGACATCCCTGTGTTCCGACACCCCCTTTGTTCCGACTGCACATATTCCTATTGTTGTCGGAACATAACACAGTCACCGTCTGTTACCAGCAAGAGTTGTTGTGAAGGGGGGGGGGAATGGTCTCACCCCCCCCCCATTTCCCTCCCCCCCCCCTTTTTTTCAAAAACAGAACATCACTTTCGTCTCCTTCAAAACATCAAACAATTTTTTACCATTTCCACCTATACCTGTGTGACTCACCACTTTCCCTCCAATATTTAATTGTCCTTCGGTTTACAGCGAGGTGATACATCATGATGTTCGTGTGACATGTAAGATAATTATACCAAGGGCTTGCGGCAACTATACTCGTTTTTTTCTCGCAATTCAAGAGATAATTAATTTATCAGCAATTTATCAGTGTCACGTTTCTTTTCTGAGCAGCTTAACCGAGCTGAAATGTTGTGGCTTTGTTGCATTCATCCTTCATGTCTTGGCGTCACAATTCTGCTCACAATAAAGATTATCGGTAAACCATTGATATTTAGCAGAAATGGTATAGTGGAAGCATATTTGACCTCGTCATGGTAGCTTCGTGTTGCCATGGAGTGAGATAATCTCACCGGGAACGAACGTTTGCCCTCAAAATTCGGCACGGATGCATTTTTAATCCAAGTTTCAAAATGAAATTAAACATTGGACATCGTGTATTTCAGCAGAACTCATTATTGTAACTCAAGTTCAAATTTAGTATTTGTTGTAAAAGAGCATGTACAAGGTCCCGCAGGAAAACAAATCAATTAGAAAAGGCTCAGCCATCGTAACTTGGTTTGTGTTCATTTGCCGATTTCTTAAGAAATGTTGACAAAAAAATGTCCTCATCGGTAACTTCTACATATTTTGTCCTGTCAAATTTGACAGAACTGTTCTTGAGTTATTATCCATCAATATACCTTTATCATGCTGCCACCATTTCAGTCATGTTCCCTGAATCCAATAACAGTACTGAATGATAATTAATTTTGTTGTGCACAAAGGAACCAGACTATTTTCCCTTCCAGCCTCGCTTTGATTACGTTGATTTGAATGGGAAAAATCCAAATGGCCGCAACATGATAATGGTCTATGCCGACAACATTAACACTCAAGGTCAAGGTCCAGAAATGTGGGGTCCAAAATTGTGATAATTCTGTCGCGACACTGTGTAGGTCATAGTACGTGAAAAAAGTACCGTCTTTGGCAATTACAAATGGAGGTTGGAGTTCGTGATTGTTTTTCGTAGCAAAAGTGGTATAGGTTGATTTTTACACTGGCGTCCACCGAACTATTAATTAAAAAATCTAGATCGGGGTATCGTACGTAACCCGCGTTTTGATAGGCGTATATGACGCAGTGTTCAGATTTAAACTATTTTAAACTCGCACCTAAATTTGAATTAAAAAAAAAGCATATAGTACAAACAAAATCATAAAACAAGAAAAAGAAAACAATACAGATTTTCAATGTTCCCCTTCTATTCTGGGAGACACTGAGCCAAATTTTGGGTTGTCCTCCCCTTGGCCAAGTATCCTGAACATGCCACGCCCCTTCAATGATCTCTCTTACATGCGTCCATTAATTTAGCCTCACGGTTTCCTGTTTCGTTTTAAAACAATAGTTTAATGTTACCAGACTTCCTGGTACAGGGCAGCACGGTGTCAGTGCAAAGCAAATGAAGATCGTATGTCCTGAAATCTGATCTGAAAAAGTGTGTCGTCGGCAGCAGTGTTTCCGTCTTTTTTTACTTTTCCTTGGAAAAGCAACCAAATATACAGCTGTTTGTCGACCAAAAAGCAGGTCAGCCCCGCCTAGTAAAAAAAAAAGAAGAAAAACAAATGCCGACGACACACTTTTTCAGATCAAATTTCTGGACATTCAATCCTCATTTCCTTTGAATTGACTCCGCGCTAGCCCGTTACATGAGGTCTTGTAACATTAAACTACCGTTGAAACGGAAGCAGGAAAAAAAGTTGTTTCTTGGAATTTGAATAACTTTTGCCTTACAAAAATGACGTTGCCACAAGAAATCTTATTAGATGTACGTCATTGTGCCCTCTCTCGGCAGCAGGAAGCGACGCACGTACGACGCATCGCACGACGCGACGCACGACGCCGCGACGGGAAACGACCACACGCGAAGCACGACGCGACGCAATACTGTACAAAAGCAATGGCAAGGGAGCGACGTTACGACGGGACACGACACTGCGGAATGCAGTAGCAGTGTAATGATAAACTGGGTTGTGTCATTGCTGTGCAGACAGGCAGTCATTGAATGGATTTGTTGTTTGTGCAATATGGGTACTAAAAATGATAAGGGTGGGGTGGGGGCCTCCGTGAACTTTTTTTATAACAGTTTGAAGTGGTGGGAGCCTCCGTGAAGTCTTTTTATAACAGTTTGAAGTGGTGGGGGCCTCTTTTTTATAACAGTTTGAAGTGGTGGGAGCCTCCGTGAACTCATTTTATAACAGTTTGAAGTGAAAAACAATGCTATGTGCATGGACTTCGCAGGGGCAAAGCACGTCATTCGCCCATTATTATTTACAGAACGGTTCAAACTATGCGTGATTTTTATCTCGCAATTCAAACAGATAAAACAGTTTCGGCACCATAAAAGGGTCACTGTTCATGATACAAAATAATGTTAAAATGCAACATTTTCGCGCTCGCGTCTCTTCAGTTTAAAGCTTTTGTACTCGTTTTTCGGAACTGTTTTTGGACAGTTGGGAAGTGACGATAACCACAAATCTGATTTTTTTTTTGGGGGGGGTTCTCACAACAAACTTTGGGGGTGGGGTGGGAGATGATCCAATGGTCAATCACCCGTTGTCAAAAAGTGGGGGATATATCGCCCCATCTCTCCCCTCCCCCCAGGATTTCCGCCCATGGTTGTAGCGATGATCGACGGGCAATCTCATTTCTCAAGAATTAATGATGGCTTAACTGAAGTCAACCACTGCAGAATCTCCCAGGCAGTGCACCGACCTGTGCCTATATAATCAGTATGTACGTGTGCAATTCGTGTATTTGTGCAAGTGGTTATATAGCCCAATTGGTGACTCCAATTGGATGATTGATATCGCAGCTAAGGCCTGCTGTGAAGTTTAATTATATCAACGCCACATCGTTCCATCATTGACTCACATCGTATCGTTCCAATGACCTTTAAATCCGTTCTTTGCAGAAAAGTATGGAACAGACTATTAGGTTTAAACGGCACTCCAGACACTCCCAAGGGTTCCAGACAGAAACTCTCCCTATAAGAGGGATGGAGCTACCAGTTGTATCTCGGGACAAATTGACAATACCACCATCCGATAAGCACCCTAACAGCACACACAAAGAGCACACGTGGAATTGTAACCCACCCTCTCCAGGACAGTAGCAATGCTTTTAGGAGAGTACTCTAATGCAAGATGCGCTGATACAAGAGCTTCAAGGTTCGATACTATCTGTGCATAATGTTATACAGGACCCAAGCAGTGCCGGACTTCGTATAATAATAATTATACGAAGTATAGGTGTGCGCCAAAAACCGGGATTTTTTTTACATTGGTTTATGTAGCTCCCAGATCCATGTTCTTGAAATTCAATGGATTGTGAGTCTGGAGTGCCGAATGGTAGCACATAGCAACCGATGAAAACTGGTGCACATAAACTGAATATAGATGTTTCATCGGATGACGTCAGCCCACTTCCACTTAAAAATTCTGTAATATGCGTATGTCCTTGAGTCTTAATGTGCAAACATGCAGGCAGGCCCATTAACGAAAACTTCCTTAACATTTCCTTGCAGAGCGAATGCCGAAACGGTCGCGATCATCTGCTCTACAAACAGTTTCCCTTTTAACGTTTAAACGTTGTACAGTTCGTCCGACGTTTCTTTATCCCTATACTGGTACTGAAAACGGGTGTGTGCGCGGCATTGACGACTCTCCTTTCCATGCCCCTATAGCGAAATGTTCGCAAACGTACCCTATTCACATATTGGGAAGTTCAACTCTATGATACGGTATCTATCATGGCTCATTGATATGTAAATGAGGTCTTTTGCGTACGATTCTTTTGTGTTGTTCTATTAAGACCCAACACACTACTAAGACTTTTTAAAAGCAAGTTGGCCTGCTGCAAAGGCGATATGATCTGCCTAAACCATATATGCTATTCACTGTATAGACTGTGTTTAAATTGGAGGTATATTGCTGATGGTGCTGGTACTTAAAATGTGTTTTTTTACAGACATTTTGACATAGGGTGGGTATTATTCCAACGTATATACCAAAAAAAAAGCTTTGGTCAACATCATGCGACCATGGAGTTATGAAAGGATCAAACTTTGCATCCTTTTTTTTGGACACCTCTATCTGTATAATGTATTTCATTGCTCATTATTTCCAGCAATTTCTATATGTTTGATTATCATATTCTCTATCTGCATGATGATGCTGCCATGGCACAGTCAGTGTTTATTCTCCTCGAGAGGACTACACGAAATCGGCTCTGCAAAATTCCCCACGTCGTAAATTTTACACGATGCAAATTAATAATCCAACACCTATTATAATGAAAATGTAACATGCGCGCGGCGTGATGTGCATCAGCGCTCGTTTTCCATCTAATTGGCGATGTAACTCGAGTACCAACGACAGGCAGATTGCCTTTCGTCTAGGGCCCATATCCTGTTTTGCCATCATCATCCATACCCTCCCCAGTAAATCACCCACTATACACTCCCTTTTAACAAGGAGATTGGATTGTTTTTAAAAGCCCCCGCACTTGCAGTTTGGCCGCAGTGAAAGGCAGATCGGCTGAAGCGATTCTCTCCTCATTGGAAATGCTACAGTTGACACAAACGAGGCAATAATATGTGGGTGGCTGTGCGTCTTCACATCAACATTTGGGAAACACCGGACACAAATTAACGCTGTTCGTTAGTAGTCGGTTAGTAGAAGGTGGAAGAATTGTTTTTACCGCGCAGAGAAATCAGGAGCGAGCACTGGTGCCGTTGGGTCGTACAGCAAAGGTAAGCGTTATACTCCAGCTTTCATTATGCATAAAGCATGCAAAAAAACAATGGCCGTGAGTTATGTCGATAATGTTCCTTTTCTGTCTCGTGTTTTCTTAAAGTTACTCTCCCGTGCCCTCCCTCAGGCATTTCCCGTGTTTTGTTTTTCTTGACGAAACTTCCATTTGTGTATTTTATTTCAACTCGAAAGCCTATATAACATTTTCATATTTTGGGTTTTGTCACCCTTTTAAAAAAGGCTTTGCCTTGGAGTTGCTTTTTCGCCTGCAGCGCACAAAACGCTCCGCCGGAAATTATTGCCGGGCCGCAAAAAAAAAAATGGTTTCGTATCTAAACGTGGCCGCATCTTTTGGTTCGTTCGATTTTTCATTCAAAATCAACTTTAAGATTGTATTGCTTTTTTTTCTAGTCATATCAGCTATAAACAATTTTTTCGGGTGAAAATCGAAATAGCATTGGGAAAGCAAATTAGTATGTCCCCCTAAAAAAAAGTGTCCGCGAAATAACAAACCCACGTAGTAAATTTTGAAAATTCTTATATAACTGTGCAGGCTCATTATCCTTGGCCTCAACCCCTATGAGTTTATTAATTTCCCCCACGACATACTGCACATAGTCCTGTGTAAAATCCTTCATGTTGTGAAAAGGGGCTGCGGTTGGGGACGGGAATGATCTGCCTGGCTATCAGTCATCATGGTACGACGTGAGTTGAATGCTCAGGGGTAAATGATGACAGCCAGACAGCCAGGCAAATGATTCCAATCCCCAAAACGCAGCCCTTTTCACAACATGAAGGATTTTACACAGCTTACTTAACAAAGCACTGAAATTGATTAAAGGCAAGGAACTTGGTCATAGTGTCCAAAAAAGGTTGTGTGATTAATTTGCCATTGTACAGCGCTGAGGCATTAGGGAAAATATATAAAAACTTATAGGGGTTGAGGCCAAGGATTAGGAGTATCTGCACGAATAAAATTTGCAAAATTCACTTCATGGTTTTTTATTTTTTAATTCCAAAAACATTGAGACGACCACTTTTTGGGGGACATACTATATGTAGGCTACATCGCAAAAAAAGTGATTATTAACAAACACTTTGTGTTATCCATATTGAACTGCCGTATAACTATAGGTTTTCCCGGCCAATTTTCTAAAATGTTCATTCACTTCTGAAAATCGGTCATTCATTTTCGTCTGCATTTGAGAATCGCTCTGAACACGCGCTTCGTTTTCGCTACAAGAGCATTCGATTCCATTTCAGTTCAATCGATTAAGTGATTGAGCAGCACCTTTCGTTTATGTCCATTCAGATTCGTTTACAAGACTTCTTGATCGCTTTTGGAGGGCGATTTCAAACAATCACCATTCTATTTCACTTTTAGTTTAATGCCATCGGCACCAGATACAATTAGGGCTGTCTTTTTCAATAACCGTCAATCAAATTAGCTGTACCTGAAATCAAATTAGAAAAGGTATGCTTGCGTAAAATGAAGGCACATGTAACGTAATTGGCCGTCTGTTTCTCAAAACCGAATGCACGGACGATGAAAATGATTAGCGATCGTTGAATTGAAATGGGAATAAAGACGGGCATTCAAATTCAGACGAAAAGGAATGACCGATTTTCAGAAGTGAATGAACATTTCATGAAATTGGCCGGGAAAACTTTTATCAAAACATATGCTGGTGTTGCTTTATTACATTTTTTTGGTTATACTTATTAAATACATGAAAGTTTTTGCGAGAACTGTAACCAGATAATATAAGATAGATAAGACTTTGGTTTGCATGGTGGACATGATAAATGAATGGGAGGTTTGCGGTAACACCAATGTGACTGAAAAATACCACTTAGTGAGTTCTGAGAAGAACCAGTTGGTTTAACTCGACGTTTCGAACAGGATGCTCTGCCCGTCAGGGCAGTCTTCTGATGACGAGTAGAACATACTGTTCGAAACGTCGAGTAAAACCAACTGGTTCTTCTCAGACCCACACAACTCACTTATAGAGATATCATTCACATGGTGTTACCGCAGACCTCCCATTTAGAGATAAGATAAGTCGTTTAAGCCATCCCCGGGCTAATATAATTCATTGTGAGAGATATGCACAGTGTTAATAGAAGGATGGTGATGTGAACCTAGCACGTGATGACACTAACGTTATTGAGCTTTCAGATGGTGTCCCATAAAATAAGAAGACAACACAGGGACACAACATAAGTGCAATTGAAAATAGTCAATGTTAAACAATTTCGATCTTTTTTTCGAAATTGTGGCTCGGTGGGTCAAAGTAAAGAACTGAAAATCGAAATTCAGTTTTCAATTAAAGTAATAGAAAAATTTATACAAAAAGAAGGGGAAAAAACCCCAAAATGCCGAGCGGCCTCTTTTTTGACACTGTGACCAAGTTCCTTGCCTTTAATCAATTTCATTGCTTTGTTAAGTAAGCTGTGTAAAATCCTTCATGTTGTGACTGGGCTGCGTTTTGGGGATTGGAATCATTTGCCTGGCTGTCTGGCTGTCATCATTTACCCCTGAGCATTCAACTCACGTCGTACCATGATGACTGATAGCCAGGCAGATCATTCCCGTCTGTCATGTCTGTCATTGAATACAGAACAAGCTAATCATAACGAAGCCGACATTACCCTTTTTAAATTTTGTAAATATAGTGTCTTGGAAAACGGAAAACACTGTACAATGTTTTGTGTGTTGGCAATTTCCGTCTGTTTCAACTATGCATGCTGGAAGCCTGGGAAAAGCTATTCAAACCTCGTGAGCTGAGAGAGCATTGATCTGAATTATCTGCTTCATTTGAAGCATTACTTTGTTCTTCAGTGTGTAGGATATATTGAATAGTCATTCAGCATTTAAAAATCAAGATTTGGGTTGTACTTGTGGGTAGGTCAAAACAATTTCGAAAAAAAAGATAGAATTTTGCTTTAATATTGCCTATTCTGAATCGCCCCCTTCTTTTTCATGATACACGGGGTTTTTCTATGTCTAGCAAAATGATATTTTACACTAATGTCCTGTGAATGTTTTTATACCTATATCATAACAAGACTATACAGGATGGCCCCCGCAAAAAAACCCGGAACGGCCTACTTTCGCTATACCTTTTACTTTGCTTTTGATGAAATACCAATGTGACTAACAGAAAGAATACAATGTCACTAAAGCTGCTCGCATGTGATAGAAATGTGGCGTTTAACCCTACAAGGGCCGGGCTATTTTGCCCATCTCACAGCCGGGGGGCGGATTCCGCCCCCTAAGATCTCGACCATCGAGTGACGAAAAATTATGAAACTCGGTACATGCATAGAACAACTTATCATAAACATACCCATACGCCCGGCACTGTTCCGTTCGGATTCAATCGATTTAGACGCTATCTAAGTGGAGTATTACGTCGTTGCATTTGGTGTTGAGTTGGCAGGAGATTCTACATGCCACTTGGAGGTCGGTCGTTCTGTCTGTCTGTCTGTCTGTCTGTCCGTCTCCGAAAATTCACCAAAAAGTATGGTGTTCCATATGTGCCATCTGCGTCGCATTGATCGCCGTCTTATTTTTAAACTCTGGCAGGGATCATTTTCATCGATTTCATTTTAAGCTCTGGCAGGGATTATTTTGATCGATTTCATGCAAGATTGTCATGCGAGACTTATTGTGCACTCGCACTTGCGCTACACATATAACATCTTCCTCGAACACTGAGGTGGACGCCATTTTGTGTAGTTGTTGGACAGTATCCAAAAGGAGGAGTGTCCCCAAAAGGTGGGCGGGTGTGATTTTTAAGCTCTGGCAGGAGCTTCTACATGTCACTTGGTGGTCGGTCGGTCGGTCGGTCGGATGGTCTATCTGTCTGTCCTGAAAATTGACCAAAAGTATGGTGTTTCATGTGTGCCATCGGCGTGCTTTTTTCGCCAGAGCTTATTGTGCACTCGCACTTGCTTTTCAATGCAAGGCAAAGAGATATTGAGCGAGTGGGAGGGATTTGTCGTTTCGTGTTGCACGGTTTTATGTCCGATTTTGTGCTTGTAATGCGTGTGCTCGTGTTTGTATTATAAAAAAATATATATGCAGGTTTATATACAGGTGTGTGCTTGCACAAAAAAATGCTTTGGCGAGATAGGGCCAGGTTTAAACCGATGTCAGATAAAAAGAAAGAAAACCACGTGCTCTTATTTGAGACACTATACATGATTATTTTAATCCATTTTGTTTTGGTCAGATTTGTGGATCAGCCAGGTACTGATTCCGTCGATACACCATGGGAACCCCGTTCAAGGATCTGGCTAAGCTGTTCGACAACAAAATCAACAATACGAACTTCAGCGGCGACTCCATTAACGCAACTGCTGCGCCAGCGAACCGCCCTGGTTTTGAGTTTCAGAAGGTCCCTGCCGGCACCGTGGCCGCCTTTATCCCGCTCTATACGAGCGTCGTCATTTTGTCGTTGCTGGGGAACGCCCTCGTTTGCCTCGCTGTGGTGCGCAACAAACGCATGCGCAGTGTCACCAACTTCTTCTTGGCCAACCAGGCTCTGTCGGACATCGTCATGACAATTCTGAACATTCCCTTCACCGCATACCACCAAATGGTGCTTGACTGGCCCTTTGGCGACCTGATGTGCCACCTGGCCGAGTACATGGGCATGATGTCGGTCTACGTGTCCACGTTCACGTTGACGGCGATTGCTTTGGACCGACACCGGTACATAATGTATCCGCACCGGCCTCGCATCGCAAAGCGCACTGCTTTGGGCGTCGCTAGCTTCGTTTGGGCTCTGGCGTTGTTGCTGTCCATCCCGTACGCCCTCTTCCGTCAAACCGAAATCAGGAACGGAGCCACGCTTTGTCTCATCTCTGTGGCCTCCAATGACCTCTGGTTCTGGAAGTACGTGGCCCTCGTGACATTCTTCATCCAGCTGCTGATCCCTCTGGCCGTGATATCGGCAGCCTATCTCCGCATCTACCTGAAGCTGAGAGCTCGCGGGAACGTGGGCAGCGTGATGGCCCAGCATCAGCGGGCCAACAACAAGGCCAAGCAGCGCACCACTCTCAAGCTGGTCCTGTTCGTGGCCGTCTTCGCTGTCTGCTGGTGTCCGCTCAACCTCTACGTCTTTGTCACCAACTTCAACCAGAAGCTTAAAAGCAGCGTGCTGTATCTCTGCCTGCACTGGTTCGCCATGTGCAGCGTCTGCATCAACCCCGTCGCCTTCGCTTTCCTCAACAAGAACTTCCGGAGTGGTCTGAAAGCAACGCTCCGTTGCGCCCGTGTGAATGATCGCGCCAAGCATTCCAGAAATCATACATCAGAAACTTTCCAATAAACAAAAAAAAAGCAGTTCACCATACCATCAAAATTCACCATAAAACTATAAGGCCGAATAAAAAAATACATGTTTCTCGTCCGGGTTTTTGAAAAAAAAGAGGAAGAGGGGCTTTTTATTTTTTATTTTTTATTTTTTTTTAGATGGCTGCCATTTTCAAATTTCCTGGAACCGTTGGTGTTTCCCCTGTTCAAAGACATTTTTAAAATGAAAGACAAGTTGGACAAGAGAACTGAACATATTTACAGTGTCATTTAGAGTTGTATTGGTCTACAATGAACAGTTTTAGATGCATTTGCTTTAACCGTGGACTTTTTCGGTGTTCTTTTACTGCATTTTTCAAAAATAAAAAATAATTGAAAAAAAATCCAGGTGGCCTCCAAAAGGGAAGCGGGCGGGGACGAGAAACATGTGTTTTTTTTACTTCGCCTAAGTTGGACCTTTTTTTGGGGGGGGGGGAGGGGAGGGACGGGGAGAAATGTAGTGCTCTGTTTTTGTACCAGATTTTGCGGACTATTTCTCATGTGAATTACCGACATACAGGATCATTTGCTTTTCATGCATTTTGTTCGTTTCAAAAAAATAACACCACTCATCACAATCCAAACATCCAGGAAGGAAGATCCTCCATAGAATGTTCAATACCTAACCTGTTAAAGTTTCAGCTCAGTGGATAATGCACTTTTCGAGAAACAGTGAAAACCATGCACAACCATGCACAACGAAACGTGTTTGGTCAATGGGACTCTTTATTCCAAAAATTAGGTAGGCCTAGTTGAAATCACCGACATTTCTTTCTTTTTTAAATGACAGCAAGCCAGATGGAATAAATTCACGGGGTGTTTAGTACTAGTTCGATCTTTAATCCAAGTGAGCTTTTTGATATTAATTCGGTAGGTTATAACCTTGGGATAAATGCAAATGATCCTATATGCCTGTCAACAATGCCGTCCAGTAAAAATTAAACACACAATTGAAAATCTAGGAAAAATCTGGGGCGATCTTTAAACTTGATGATAAAAGGATAAGCATAAAAAGGGGGAAAAGAGCGATCCAGTCTATGCACCAACCCGATGCTAGAATTACGCTAACTAAACGGTTCTGATAACCGATTACGCTTCCATGTATGAACGACCATCGCACGTGCGTTCTTATTTTGGCCCCCAACATAAAACCCGAACGTCGTACTTCCGCTACCCTGAGACTCAAAACAACCTATACCAATGCATGGGGAATTCTGTTAAAAGAAAAATGACTGCAAGATCGCCTTATTTGGTCCAGTAGTTTTTGTTCTGGAGCCTTTTGAAACAAAGTCGGGAGTGATTTTGTCCCGCGCCCGCGAATTTGACTTATAGTTGGATAGAGGGATTTATATAATAATACCCACATACAAGATGTGTGCTTCACAAAATGGGCTCTGCAGCAGAAACTACTGGACGGAATCGGGAGATCGTGGTATCATATATATTTTTTCTAAAAGAGATTCTCCATCCATTGTACTTGTCTGAGCTCAAGGTAGTGGAAGTATGCCGTTCCCTGTATTGCTATGTTCTCTGTATTACTAACACTGAAAGGGAGTAGGCCTACTTTGTGTAAATTGAGCTTTGGATCATCCCAAAAATGGTTGGAAAAAAAGCCGCCCAAAATACCAAAAACTGCGCAATCGCATGAAACTCGGATGTGTATGCATACTTCTGTTTCTGAAGGCGGGTGTGGGGGGGGGGGGGGGGGCGGCAGGAAGCCTTACGAAACTTCGCATTATCTAAAGATTGCTCGTTACGAAACTATTAAAATCGTGATAATATATAACGAGAGTTACAAATTGTTATGTAACACCTCACGTGCCTGACACATATAATGACTTGGGTTCACAGATTAGTGCCAGGCAGAATATATCTTTTATTGATGGCCCAAATCAAAGCAAATTCCTTGGGCGATCATTCCGATTGCACGTTAGCGTTTCCCACTCGGTCACTGTTTGTGTAACTATGGTGTTAACTATGGTGTTTAACTAACAGTGTTTATTTGGTGTGGCACGGACTCTCAAATGTATATTAATGAGATATCTCGATCGAGGAAGCGGCTGCTCACCACGACAACTTACAACTGGGCTGTGGTGGAACACTTTCTTTCCGTATCCAGGATTCTTTCCACAAGTAAAAGAACAGATTTTGCGAATTAAGCCTATATAGACATACTTTCAGTACACTCGTTCCAGACATTTTGCTTCGCCTGAAAAAAGTGCCACATCAGCAATCTACGAAAGTTGTCGCCCCGGATGTGTGTGCCGGGTCGGAACTCTGATCATAGTTTGCAGCCAAACTCATTGTTGCTTTGTTGTGGGCAACCTATTCATTTCAAACCGACGGGAAACTATATAGCAAGTTCGGGTCGTGAGTGCCATAAAGTGACGTGTCACCAAACGAGTTGATGACGTACGCGAACGCTATTTGATTGCAGGGTTACGCCGCAGCAATTTCCACCACTCTATTGATTTGTGTGATGACTTGGGCCGCACGTCCTGTGGTCAAGTTCACTCAGTGTACAACTTGCTGTGTGGACTTTTTTCGACGGCAATGACACCAGTTTTACCCGAGAACGAGAACACTGTTGCGATCGGGTAAGGGTTCACAGTTCGTGCATGAGTCCATTCGGAGCAATCATTATTTGGTAGCACATTATAATTGTTGCTGCCAACTGTTGAAATTAATTAGCTTTTTCCCAAAGACGTATACGGTGCCATAGTTGCTATACCCAAGTTTGTAGGACAGTCCTGTGACTACATGTATATAGCGATGGTCGAAGTTCGAGTGCAGTTCCAGCTGAGTTGTTTGATTGGAGTCATCGGACTGGTACTAGCTGCCACCAGTGCACATGGTAAGCTGGATTTGCTATTTATTGTTAATATATAACACCATGTGGTATAACACGCTTGCAAGCCTGGCGGAGCGGGGGCGGGTTGGGGGGGGGGGGGGACTAAGACTAAGTGCCGCTGCTAGTATAGTGATGGCCTTGGACTACACATTTGCAATTACCCAGAACATGCAGAAAATACCTACCGATTTAACAAGAAAATCTTTGCTCATACTAGTTAAGATATAGGACTGGTAACAAATATACTTTGAAGTTATTCTGCTTGAAATTGCATACCGTACCATTCGGAAGAAAGGGACAGTATTGGTATAGCAAACTGTGCGTGACCGCGGGTATTTTTTACGTGCGTCACGTCAGCACGACTTAGAGACCCGAAACCAAATAATGTGCAATTTTCCCCCTTATTTCTCAAAAATTGTAGTATCTTTTTTTGTGTTACTTTAAACGAAAATGAAATTCACAAAAAGCAAACGTCGGAATGACCTTTAAAGATTGAACATGAACTTGTGAATGCCTGTATTTGAAATAAAATGCTTGAAACTAATTAATTATGTGCACAAAACCAAATTACATGTCAATGCAAATAAGTTCCAAAAGAAACTAGTTTTATTACATGAACAAGCCTTCTTGGCCGGAGTTATGCCACCAAAAATCAATCGCCCGAGTTTACAACTGAGCAAAAGTGTCGTTGAAATAAACCTTTTATTTACCTCTTTTTTTTATACAGCACTGTCTCCATCTGACCTTACCCACGAGTGTCTCCGGCCGTGCGAATGGCCCGCAAAGCCCCGGACCTGCCGCTACGAGTTCACGCTGGAGTGGTACTACAGCATGTCCAAGGCGTGCTACGATTGTCCGCTCAACCGTACGGACTGCGCACGGCCAGACTGCATCGCGCTGAACGGGGTAGCTAGGTCGGTGGCCGTGGTCAACCGCATGTTTCCCGGACCGAGTATCCAGGTACGTACGCTGGCTTCCGAGAGTTGCAACAGGTAGGGTGAAATGATTGGTGGGGGGAGGGAAAAATCTCGAAATAGTTCACATCCGTGGAAAACTCGGGAAGTCGGATTGTTCAGTTGCTAAAATTGTTATTCCTCATTCGTAAACACCGTAATTGTTTTCTTTGAAAAGGGAACAGCGGCCAAAAAGATTTTTTTTCTTCAAATTTCAGAGCAAGTCCTATAGTACACTGTGATTGGAGCTTGGTTTTAATTTGTTTTAACATGGTTTTCTGTTCATGATTTTGGTTTGTCGACGTTTTTTCAAAAGACACTATTGCATTTAACTTTCTCTCTTTTTTAAAACAAAGTTGTCATAACCGAAATTGTCTTTCGACAAATTTTCCTAGGAAATTCTCTGAGAACCTTTCAGATAATTTTTATTACCAGGAGACGTAAGTTTTTCTCGGCTACAAGTTTTTTTCTTCTTCTCATATTGCAGATCTGTGAACATGACACCTTGGAAGTGAAAGTCAACAATCACTTGAAAAGTTACTCGGAAGGGACCACGGTGCACTGGCACGGCCCGCACCAGTTCGGCACACCCTACATGGACGGCACGGTCATGACGTCCCAGTGTCCCATCCCAATCGGTGCAAGTTTCACATACAGCTTTCCGGCCGAGACGTACGGTACGCACTGGTGGCACGCCCACGCCGGCATGCAACGCGCGGATGGGGTTTTCGGCGCGCTTGTGGTGCGCCAGCCCACGCAACGCGAGCAGCATGGGTCCCTGTACGACTACGACCTTCCGGAGCACGTGGTGTTACTCCACGACTGGCTGGACCAGGTCACCCTGGTAAAATTCGCGGCCCACCACCACGACAACGGCAGCAACAAGCCCGAGTCGGTGCTGATCAACGGGAAGGGCCGGCGAGTGGCCTTTACAGACCCCGTCACAAATCAAACTTCATTCACAGAGCGCGAGGTTTTCAAAATCCAACAAGGGAAGAGGTACCGGTTCCGGACTATCAGCAACGCCATCACCAACTGCGCTCTCAAAGTCTCCATCGACAACCACACTCTAAACATCATTGCCAGCGACGGTGCTCCCCTAGAACCCACCGAAACCGACTCTTACATCATCTACGGAGGGGAGAGGTTCGACTTTGTTCTGAACGCAGACGCAGCCGTTGGTAATTACTGGATGCGGGTGAAGGGACTCGCGGACTGCAAGTTCGTCCAGGAGCTGGCCGTGGTGCGATACGTTGGGGCGCCTGATGAGGATCCCATCGAGGACGAGGGGATTGACCGTGGCGGTATCGTCGTCAATCCTTGGAACCAGGAGGCGAGCGAGACGGCCATTGCCATCAGTCAGCTAAATGCAACTGGTAAAATAAAGCATTCTGTCGGTTTGAAAAGGTTTCAGTGCACAATATTAAGTCAAGACCACATGCAGAAATCATTATAAGCCGTCAAAAGTCAATAAAGTCATCTTAAGTCACTACAAGTCACCAGATTCGAAACAAAATGTGTCACTCGTAATCCACTGTTATTTTTCCCCTGTCAGTTTGAAATTATGATCTCAGAGCACATGCGGTGACCACGTCCTCAGAAAGTCATCACAAACCATCACACGTCATCGCATGTCACTAAACGCGTCATGAGAAGCTATGTTGAATTGAACTGTGACAAAAAGTCACAAATTACTTTGTCACTCTTAGTCTCCTGTTCTTTGTGTCCTTGCTTAATTGTTGTGTCTAATAAGCCTCTGCACAAATGACGTCACACTTTGTTTACATGTGCACTTTTCTATGGAGCCAGTGGGGGCCCACGGTCCACTGAGCACCATAGGAAAGCACACACGTAAACAAAATGTGACATCATTAGTACAGAGGCTTATTGACTTTTGATTTAACTTGCGATTGAGTTATGGTGGTTATGACCACAAAGTTGAAAATTAAATGAGCACGATTTCAACCTAGCTGTGACACTAATTAGTCTCAAAATCGCTTTTGTCACTTGTCTTTTTTTCACGACACATAGAACCTGACGACGGAACAAGCGTGGAGCAGGCGGACGTCATCCACTACCTTGGCCTAGACTTCAACAAGGTCAACAACTATCACTTCCACGACCCGGTGTCGTACCCGATCGAGGACATCGCCCGCACGCACCACCTGTACTCGCCGCAGATCAACCATCTGTCCTTCGCGTTCCCTCCGTCACCGCCCTTGACCCAGCACCGAGACATCCCCCGGGAACAGTTCTGCACTCCGGACAGCATGTCGGACATGGACTGCGTACGGGAGTACTGCGAGTGCATCTACACCATCGAGGCAAAGCTTGGGCAGGTATGGAACGCCAGACCTGCCAATTATAGGTGTATTTTCTTATTGGAAATCATAATTAGGCCACGAACCACTCGAGTACAGTTAAACAATGGCTCTAGCATGGAAACCGCTGGTTCTACTTCGTACTTCCATAAAATCGGCCATTAAAATGTGGTTCAATACAGATATCGCGTGAATAGGTTTATAATGTAAATCTAAATCTAAGAGTAAATATAATATACCACACGCTACTGAAGAAATCCCCGGCAAACGATGAACGTGCTAAGCAATTACTGTTATCAGCTAATATCTGCTGGTAATCTAATATTGCCAAGAAATACGTTGCTGTGCTCAATAAAGCTTGGAGCTCATAGCACGTACAGTTTAATTTCATTAAGCTTTTCAGGTGACACAATAGTCTATAGTAGGCCGCTATATTTGGAGTGGTTTAACTCTTACGTGTTTACCCAAGTGTGTGTCCACCATAATCTCAAAAAAGGTTAATGACACCAACGAGTGTACGCGACCTTGCGCCAGATAAATGACCGTTAATGCTTCCTGCTGTTCTGAGACTGTCCCCGGTTTTACGGTCAGTGTGAACTTCTTGTTGTTTGAAGGTCGTGGAGCTGGTGATGGTGGACGAAGGAGTGATTTTCGACGCCAGTCACCCCATGCACATACACGGCCACTCCTTCCGGGTGGTGGCACTGGAGAAGCTGGGTACGTCCACCAGCGTGCAAGAGGTCATGGAACTCGACAAAGCAGGTATTGAAAGGATCGAATAAAACGGTCCGTAATACAAGACAAATGCATGTGCATCTTTATTCGCTCGTCCTGATCGCCTTGCCTAAAGATGCTGGCGACCTCTAAAATTCTTCGAGTTCTCATTGGCTACATGTGCGTGCAAACTTCAGGGTAGGCCCGTTATTCGACAAAATTATTAATTCATCACGTCACTTACGCCTGCGCACTAATAGCAATGTGCGAACCATCTAGGGGCAAGTTCGTGCAAGAACTATTGTTGACCATTGGTTAACCATAGTTCGACTGAAGTTAGCCCGAACTCTGTCTAGTCGACGTGCGGGTTGACTACGCTAGTCGACTATTTGGAACCATCCTACTGGGGCTGGTTGCATCGCTGGTAACCAATGGCCTTGCGCATTCATAACGTGCAGCAGGGAGCCAGGGAGCCAGATGTTTGGGATGACATTTTGACCAGCGTTTGACTAGAGACGTTCGCACGTTGCTATTACTTAGTACGCAGGCGTAAGTTACGTCACAAATCAACCACTAGTCGACTAATGGTCCTTGCCCGAACTTGGCCTATTCTAATGATGGTCAAAACGTCGACGCGAAACTTCTTGGTCCTTCGCTCGTACCCCCGCCCTCAAACAGGGCGCTATGGGAAGGGCTAAACTCTGGCACACAATTTGGTGAAGGAAACATAGGCGCGCAAAGCATTGTGGGCAGCTTACTGCCTCATCCAATGCACGTACATTCTGTGCGCATGTGTCAAGTGCAGGCGGAAGGGTTGGCCCGTATTATTGTTCAAACAAAATTACATCCAATGAGGGCTCGGAGAACTGACGTCATGCATCCTGAAGATATATATTAGCTTCTCAGCGCCCTGGGTACAAGCGGATCTAATTAGTCCTGGCTCCCCATTATGCGCACGGCTTTTGTTATGGAACCGTGACCAATTGCCGTCTGGTTCAAAATAGTCGACTAAACTGGCTTTTCCCCCACGTGTTCAAGGATCCCTGGCTAAACAAAAGTCGAAATGATTGTGAACGAAAGTGTTACCCCACCCCACGTTCATCAACGCTCCGTCGTCACTGTTGTAATATTGTGACAGCACTAAACACCAAATTTAGATGGAACAATAATATTGTTTTGAATTTTGGGTTTTCGCCGCTGCTCCTCCTCCCCCCCCCTTCCCTCGGCCCCGCGGGGGCGTGGTTATGAATGGTGTCCAAAACTTTGAGACCAGGGTTTTGGCGCTCACAACGAGAACCCTGTCTTGCCTCGCATTCTATAAATCTCATCATGTTCTCTCAATTCAAGGCTGAGACTAACAGTGATTTACTGAAACAAAAGGAGTCAGAGTGAATCTCGTATTAAAAAAATACAAATTTATTTGGCTCCTTGTGGCAGGTAACATCACCAGGAAACTCAGCCGAGCTCCCCGGAAGGATACCGTGATTGTTCCCGATGGCGGGTTGACTGCGATCCGCTTCGTGGCCAACAACCCGGGCTGGTGGCTGTTCCACTGTCACCTGGAATTCCATGTGGAGGTATGTGAAGGGATCTAACTGCCTGTACGAGATACTTGTGGTGGACACAATATGAGGGCGCTATTTGATATGAGTAGATACAAAATAGTTTACCCAGACCAAAAAGCGCCAGCCAATCGTCGACCTTAGAAACTGCGACGTCATTTCGAAATGTGGACTAAGCTGTTGATTGCTCAATTCGGATGCCATGTTTTTGTAAAACAACAACGGGTTGCGGTGTTATTATTTGCAGCACATATCGTCAAAGGATCATGATTATTCAGCTAGTTCGATGTTATTCATAAGAAAACAATGACGTCACCATTGCTATCACTCAGTCTTGCATGTACATTAAACATTTGGCTTTCGTCGGGCTCAGACAGTGACCTAGTGGATAGTGGAGTGAACTATGGATCGCAGGATCTGTGGTTCGAGCCAATGCCCGTGTTCATCACATATTTGTGTTGGTTGGGATAGGTTTAGCTGAAGGGAAAACACTTCGAGAACCTAAGTGTGTTCAATCCACACAGAGTGATAAATATTCATGTTAGGATGCCTGAAGTTATTGGTTAGAATACGATGTATGCTACAAAAAAAAATACGCCAACGGGTTACGGAAGACTCGGTAGACGGCGCCTGCTGAATGGTCTGGATGACAAGACGCAGTCTTCTTTTGCATAAAAGGGTGCGTTCGAGCGTGTAATACTCTAGCGACTCCCGAGTGCAGGAAAATGTTGCGTGCGCATTACTCTCGGTGCAGGAGTATACTCCCGGTATGACGGAGAGCATACTCTTGCTAACCTGCGGGTCGTACTCCTGCCGTTCCGGCGCTCAGGAGTATACTAGCGTTTACACGAGTAGCACGCTCGAACCTACCCAAAGTTTGTTACATAGACTACCCGACCCCGGCCCGCGCCCCCGGAATAAAAAAATGTCCTCCTTATTTTTTATTTTTTTATTTTTTCCAACCCTGACGCAAAATACTGACATTTTGATCTGTTTTTCTCCTTGCTCCGTTCAGATCGGCATGTCTCTGTTACTCCGCGTGGGCACGGAAGAAGACCTGCCTCCCAGACCGAAAGACTTCCCTCGCTGCGGTAGCTGGTACCCGCACGGCCTGGAGGAAGACGAAGCCACCCCAGCACCGTGTGGTGGCGCTGTTCATTTGACTCTCGCCAAGGCTGTCATGATGATGTGCTTAATTTCTTATGTGTTCTTTTTGTAGATTTTGGTTCTTTCTTTGAATTTTTGTAAATATTTGCAGCCAGGTTGTGAAGAGGTTTCGACTAAGGGAATACATGTGTGTTCGGGAGGTATTATAACACTCTGTTTAAGACTGGTGGGAGTCTGGATGGGTGCTAATTGCCCGAGGCGAACCACCCGTCCAGACTCCCACCAGTCTTAAAAAGAGTGTTTAATACCGACCGAACACATATTTATTCCCATTCATAAATACCTTTTCGGTCCAAAACCCCCAAATTTTTCGGTCCAAAAATCAAAACAAGTCAAAAACTAGACGCCGCCAACCATTTTGTTCAACAATTTAACTTCATGTTTTATGAAACACCCCTATGACTATTATATGGAATGCCCTTCCACAACTCGTTACCCATAGATGTCGTTACCTTATAACGACATTGGCGTGCGCGTCGCGCGTACTGCGCGATGTCGCGCAAAACGCAGCTGGGCTGGTGTAGTGTGAATTTCGGACCATGAAATACTGATTCACTATTAGTATTGCGCATACATACGTAAGAAATGTGAACGTTCAACCAATGAAACGTTAAAAGGCACCGGATTTTATGGGAGTCCAAATTTCATGTGACACTGGAAAAGTATTTACCATGTCTTTATCATCCGTTTAAGACCGGCCACGTGACGGGCTCTCGACCAATAGGAATGCGTAAACTGTCTTAGGTATTTATGAATGTATATTAAGAATCGGCATTATTAATTAAGGTTGTTTATATATTTTTTATAAAATTGTTACATATCGCGTGTTATACAGGAACATAGGAAAGTATTTTTTCACTCATGTCGACTATATGATATCAATTTAGAAACTTCAACAAATTATGAAATAAGGACCACAGTTTGCTTTGCAACGAATGCAGAAGTCAAGCTAGAACTTCCAGTGCCTGTGCTTTTATCAATTTTAATAATGTTGACGATATTTAAGTCACTTAATCGGCCAAGTCACGGCGAATTATTGTATGCTGCAAAGTCATAGACTTACTTAAATAATAAACGTTTTGCTGATCACTCAACCCAGGGGCCAACCCAAGGGCGGATCCAGAACACGAATTTTTTGGGGGGGTGTCCCCCCAAAAAGTGGGCCAAAAAAATTACGGCGTGGGGTTCGGGGCCCGCTTAAGGGCCCCGAATTTTTTTTGGATTCTAGATGCTCTGTGGTGCGATGTGAGGCAATTTCTGACCACTTTAACCAATGTTTTTTTGAGGAAAAGATGGTGGTGTACTCATTGCCTGCCTTTATTGCGATGTCACATAAAAAAAAAAAATTGGTTTCGTTTTTTTTGGGGGGGGGGGGGGGGCGCCATGGCCCCCTTTGGCCCCCCCCCCTGGATCCGCCTTTGGGCCAACCTAGTGTCCTAGTGACTGACTGACCGACTGACTCCCCGACTCCCCGACTCCCCGATTGATTGACTTGCTGACTGACTCCCCGACCGACTCGGATTGTTTGTCTGTCTCCCCGACTGACTGACTCCCCGTCTGACTCCCCGATTGACCGACTGGCTCCCCGACCGACTAGTGACCGACTGACTGAACGACTCCCCGACTGATTTAAGGATCGACTGACTGATTTAAGGACCGACTGACTGACTCCCCGACTGACTGCCCCACCGGTTTACATTGACTGACTGACTGACGGATTAAATCCGGTCCAATGTAAATATATCCTTGCACTATAGAAACGCGTCGTGAATAAGGTACGTTTTAATCGTTTTGGTTTTTCATTTGTTAGTCAAGTTCACGGATTGATGTGTAATAATATTCGTTTAACTGGAGTATTATTAAACTTAACAAAATGTATAAATACTCAAAGAGCTGTTCATGATAACACATTGACTATATTAAAATATAGTCAATGGGTTACGAACAATCTCTTTTATGATGTAGGCCCTATATGTATATATATTTCTATAGCTATTAAAAAAAACTTTGAGGCAAAAATAAAATGTATGTAAAAACCAAGCATAAAACTCTGGATTTCAAAACGTGCAAATAAATCACGTACAGCGTTGCCCTTTTACAAAATCTCACAGAGGTGGAAAACAAATAAATTGAGATTCCACAAAGCATTGTGGGTATCGGTAACAGATTGCCGTGACCAATGCTTGTACGCACATTTGGACGGAAGTCTTGACCCGGGTCAATGGATAAACAAAATGTATCCAATGAGAGCAAAGAAATTAGAGGTCACCACCGGGTTTATTTTGGCGCAATGTTCGTTGTCATTAAAATATCACCCTCATGTCCAGACTAGGATGCAGTAGTGACGGCTTTTATCCATGAAAGATGCACTAAGTGACTAACAACCATGCTCGTTCAATGAGGTTTTTTTTTCCACTTGGTTGGGACTCGAACCCACCACCGCCTATTTACCAGCCGAGCGCAGACGTCTTACCCCTAGACCACCTCGACGATGTACGTCTTTCGTCAAGTTTTCTGTCGCCCCTACTGCCCCCCCCGCCTTCGCCAAATCAACGCCCTAAACCCGGATCTGCACGTTCTTATCGAACTGTTACCTCTGTCCTATAGTTTCCTGGCTGTACCTGAGATTGGCTTTTACATAATAAATATACCAAATTTCATAGCTGACCTCAACTTCCTTTGACAACCGCAAATAAAAGGAAGTGCCCGCTCGGCTAAGGTGTCCCAAATCAAAGGTATACATTTCAATCGAATCAAATCCTTCCGCGTTCGTAGAATGGACATTCTGGCTTATCCTATGGCTCAGTTTTTCGGGGGTGGGGTGTTAAACTTGATATTTTGAGAGGTGGAATGGACCGATGGAGGCCATTTTGCAGAGGCATACAGTTTTGCCAAAACTCAGTACCTCAGTTTTAAGGAATGAAAGCCTTGATATTCGAACCCGCCAAAAGATTTACAAGGAATTAGAATCCAGCATGTTTTTCCCACCGAGTGTACACACTCATTCTAAGTCAAGATGTTGCCAGTTACGATCGAAATCGCGTTAGGCCTAATCATCACAGCTTGCTGGTTCTGACATTTTGGATGGAGTGGGGGAACCCCCTTTTTGTTCCTGCTTTGTGTTTTCACGGCAAGAAAACCCTACCGCTATTGTCAACGCGCCTGTTTACGAATAACCAAGGCAACGGTTATACCTTCTCAGTTTCTCACACCTGAGGCAAACTCGTAGTCATTATTCAGTCTTTGAAATATATCGGGCCACATTGCCTATTGTGGTAATACCGTCATTCAATAGATTCAATAGCTCCGTGATTCAATGACAGTGCTATTCAATATTATGTACATAGTTTTTTTTTATCGACAAACAGGTACTGGACAAAAAAAAGAGTCGGGGATCAGGAACTGAGGAAGTGGGAAGGTACAAGGTACGCATTGTAGGTCACGTAGGCCAAAGTGGCAGGAATAACCGCCAGGATTTTATTTGTAAGCACCCATCAAATCCCGCTGTTTTGACGTAAATTTAATGCCTCGGATTGGGTAAGTGCAATTTTATTTTCCTCAGATTTCCAATCACAAGTTGGATTTATAGTTTGTTGACTTCAGTGTGGCTTTGCCGGTTTGGCTTTTGCCAATTAAATTGATATTGATACTCGAACTCTCTCGAACGACAAACCAGATGCGGTTTATACTGCATTAGCAGGTGGGTTAAAATGATTACAAGCGATCGACAACTATACAGAAGACTTGTCGTACGTTAGGATGTGATTGTGATGATGTTGATGATTTTGATGGATGGTGCAGACTGAGGGGGTGGTTGTGATGGTAACGTCACTTTTTGGCGACGTGCTCTTTCTCAGGTTTACTGACTGCAAACTGCTCCAACGCAAGGCACTATGGCTGTACTGAGTTCGGTCATCCTCGTCATAGCTACGTGTTTGATGAGGTCATGGATGGCGGAGGCAGGTAGGCCTAGGGCCGATGTACATCATCAGTGGAGAAAAACATGAGTAGGAGGTCCACGGCACAAAACCCTCACAAGTCCTCACACAAAAATCCTCACAAGTCACTCACAAGTCAACAAGTAGGAGCGGCGATTTCTTGTCAACATCGGGGGAGGGGGAAGGGAAGGGGACCAGCACCTTGAGAAATTCGACATTTCCCGCATTTCTCGCAACATTGACCCTTTTGTTGCATTGAGCTTTTGCACGTCTTGCGGAAAATACAGTGCGAATTTGTATAGCCTACATACGCACTTGGATACATTATTGGGAGGGCTGTCAATTGGCGTCCCCCATTTATCCAAAGAAATATTAGGGCATGTCCCCGTAAACCCACCTCTCCCATGGACATAGCCGCCCGTGTAACCAAGTTTGGTCGCTATAATTTGAGCTGTTCCGCACAGGCGTTCCTTTATCATTGTTCAACCCCTTGTGACCTTACATCTGAATCAACTCGCGATTGACTTTATGATTGACTTGCGATCAGCTTGTGATTGATCTGCGATTGACTTGTGATTAATTTTCGATTGACTCGTGATCAATTTGCGATGTACTTGTGATCGACTTGCAATTGACCGTTGATTGACTTGCGATTGACTTGTAATGGATTCGATTGACTTGTGATTGACTTATGATTGACTTGTGATTGACTCGTGTAATGATGTAAGTTTTACACCACAGGTTTTGCAATTCTTGGTCAGGTTGTTTTACCAATCGATCTTTATACTGGGGGAACGATAAAAGGTTGGGTATATAAGGCTAATAAAATATGTAGCATTGGCATTTCGCACTCACAACCCTAAAGGTTCAGAAACATAATTAGTATAATTATGTAACAATAATTAGTAACAATATGCATTGCTCTACATGGTAAAAATTAGGCTAAAAGTTATTGTGGATCATGGAAACAACCCGGTGGTACTGGTATATACCACGTGCAGCTCGCGCGCAAGTCGCACGCGCCCTCAAGCATCCTTCGACCAATAGCCTTGCCAAAAATGCGCGTGCGACAAAAAAAGCACCGGCAACATGCGCGTGAAAGTAGGTCGCACAAGCGCACTCAAGCTTCCTTCGACCAATTAGGGTGGCCCAAAAAAATGTGCGTCCCACTAAAAACACCTGCAACATGCGCGTGAGCGCAGGCCGTTCGACCAATAGGGTTGCCAGAAATTCGCGCTACTTAATAAGCGTGTGACGAGTGCGTGGCTCCGCAGCCGCCTAGCTTAGTAATGGCATTTAATTCTGTTCGCCCGATTTTTCAACAATTTCACTCGAGTTTGATTTGTTTGTCGTCT